AACAAACACATTTTAATCATTGTCTTAGTAACTATAAAACCCCCACTTTAATTTAATAAAAAACCACAGTTAAAGATACTTAATGTTTAGACATAAAAAAAACCACAATTAAAAATAGAAAAAAAACAGACAACGAAAGGGTTCCGTTGTGAATAAGGCATGCAAATCTACAAATAGACTGTCACTTCATATTATATTTGCAATCCCTTTAAATCTTTAAAAAAAAATTTTAATTTCTATAAAAAATGGGAAACATTCTAGTGTTTGACCTACCTTGATTTTCCAGTAACTGACTCTAGAATATCCTTGTAGAACCCTGCATGGTTCTCCCCTAGCTCCTTGATGTTCATAAACACAATCTTTTTATCAGTCTCCTGAAATTTATCGTTTTACAGGGGTTATATTTTTTTAAAAAGCGCCATTAAAAAACTCAAGCTGTAAAATAAATAATTTCATCCCACTGAAAGGTTACACTTATGATTTATGAAAAATTTGGATTTATTTAAAAACCCAAATCAGAGACCGGATTTAATGAATTTGAACCAGGTCTAAAAACACTCTCCTGTAATATGGATAATTACATAATAGATCCTCATATATATATCCTCCTCTTTCTCTCCTGTAATATGGATAATTACATAATAGATCCTCAAATATATCCTCCTCTTTCTCTCCTGTAATATGGATAATTACATAATAGATCCTCATATATATATCCTCCTCTTTCTCTCCTATTAAAGTAATGGTTTGATTGTGTTCCATGGTTCCCAACTCCCCCTAGTCCATAAGTATTATAGGAATCAAGTACCTTGGTTAAAGTAATGGTTTGACTTTGTTCCATAGTTCCCAGCTCCCCCTAGTCCATGGGTATTATAGAAATCAAGTACCTTGGTTAAAGTAATGGTTGGACTGTGTTCCATAGTTCCCAGCTCCCCCTAGTCCATGAGTATTATAGAAATCAGCATACTGGTCTTCTGTCACCATATCCTCAAGGGTTCTAAATATTTTCAGAATTAGCGGTCAGTTCTTAAAAGATAATGGCATTCAGGCAATCCTTCATCTTAAAAATTTCATGCCAAACTCACAACAGAAATCTTTAAATGTATCTTTAAATTAAAAACTTTGCAGCAAAAAAATGGTAGGAAAAAAAAACAGGAATGTATTCCGTTATCATCCTTTTTATTGTTGCTCTAATATAGGTCTAAAGAGGGGGGGGGGGGGNTAAACAAGATTAAACAAGATTAAACAAGATTAAACAAGATTAAACAAGATTAAACAAGATTAAACAAGATTAAACAAGATTAAACAAGATTAAACAAGATTAAACAAGATTAAACAAGATTAAACAAGATTAAACAAGATTAAACAAGATTAAACAAGATTAAACAAGATTAAACAAGATTAAACAAGATTAAACAAGATTAAACAAGATTAAACAAGATTAAACAAGATTAAACAAGATTAAACAAGATTAAACAAGATTAAACAAGATTAAACAAGATTAAACAAGATTAAACAAGATTAAACAAGATTAAACAAGATTAAACAAGATTAAACAAGATTAAACAAGATTAAACAAGATTAAACAAGATTAAACAAGATTAAACAAGATTAAACAAGATTAAACCAGATTAAACCAGATTAAACCAGATTAAACCAGATTAAACCAGATTAAACAAGATTATACCAGATTAAACCAGATGAAACAAGATAAAACCTGTAAATCTGTTCCTCATCTTGTGATGGTGCGAGTGCAGCTGCAGGAAACCCAGGTTTACATTTCCCTAGGCTCCGGGGGGTCAGGGAGAGACGGGATAGGGTGTGCAGAACCTATATCAGTTTCAGCATTAGTATCGGTATCAGTATTGGTAAAAGTACCAGTATCAGTATCGGTAATAGTATCTGTATTGGTTTTAGTATCTGTATCAGTTTTAGTATCTGTATCGGTATCAGTATCAGTATCAGTATTAGTATTAGTATCAGTATCAGCATCAGTATCAGCATCAGCATCAGCATCATCAGCATCAGCATCAGCATCAGCATCAGTAGTGGTATCTGTAGCAGTTTCCAGAGAGGCATCTGTAGCGGTATCTGTATCAGTATCAATATCAATATTTGTATTGGTATCAGAATATCAATATCAATATCAGTAGTGATATCAGTATCGGTATCCATACCAATATATGTATCAGTATCCATAGTGGTGGCGGTATCACTATCATTACCTGAGCAAAATCCGAGTAGTCGTAAAGCATTGAGGGTTGGAAAAGATCAGTTTCTTTCATGTCAAAATATTTAGAACAGGAAGTCAGGAACAGTCTAGATATTTACAATGACATCTTGCTGTGACCTTTAAACACTGACCACTGACCTCTAAACTTCTGACCACTGACAATTAAAATACTAAACACTGGTCCCTTTAAACCACATCTACCACTGACCTTTACACAACTGACCTCTGACCTTAAGACTTCTCACCTCCGATCTTTGAACTTCTGACCTATGACCAATAAACTACTGACCTTTCAACTACTAACCACTGATATTTAACTTAGCGATGACTGACCTATAAACTTCTGACCACTGACCTATCAACTTTATACCATTGACCTATCACCTTCGGACCCTGACCTGCGAATAAGACCTGCACTGACCTGATATTCTTGAGGCAAAGAAACTGAGCTAGAGCAGGTCTTTGATTCACAAGTTTCATTTCAAGGGTTGAAGGGTCTATTGTGTGCACAAGGTGACAAAGCAGGACACCGTCCCTTTAATTATATTTCTTTATTATCCATCCAAACAGACCTTAGAGCAAACGCCAGATCCTGTAAGGTTGCATCAGGCCAGCAAATTCTATGGTTAGGAGGTAGCACCTGAATTTTAAAAAAAAAGTTTTGAAAAATTCTAAAAATCATTTTCCAAAAAAAGGATATTTTTCAAATATTTTTGATTATCATAAATATCATTTTAATATTATTATTAGTTAACAACCTTCCAGTAGTATCTTCCCAAATAAAATAAAATCTACGACATTTATACTTCAGCACTTGCATTTGGAAACTAGGAAGTAATCATTTGCATTTAATACTTTTGGAAAAGAACCTAACATCAAGAAATCACATTGTTTAAAGGGACTGTACACGTGATTTCAAGTGACCCTTCCTTTAAAAAGTTACTAGCACTTTTATCCTTAAGTAAAGAGTAAAGATTAAAATTTACAGTTTACTGTTTCCCATTTGTGAAATGCGAGCTCAAGCGGCGCTACGACATCTGCTCTATTTCCATTTGCTCTATGGCCATTTGCTCTAGTTCCATTTGATCTATCAAGTCATTTGCTCTCAGGATAAAAAAAACCGACGACATCTTCCTTACTGTTATTAAAACAAAGACTTAAAGGGTATTTATTAAAGGGACTATAAACATAATTAGAAGTGACCCTCGAAGCAAAGCTGGCAAAGTTTGATTCACAACGGTACCCTTAAAACCGTTATATGATCAATAATGAGGAAGATATTGTCGTTTATCTAGGTATTTAGGTTTTTATTCTGATACTTCCTATCTGTATTCCTGCAATAGAAATGCACTTTTGAAAAGAAACCACAGTTGGAAAAAACAAGTTTTTCAACTAAAAACATTGACATCTAATTCGTAGTTGATCCGTCAAAGCCTTTGTGGGTTCCACTGTGAATCGGGCATTGCCATCATTGCATGGAGGATTACTTGAAAATACGCTTACAGTCCCTTTACTACCTGTAGTCTGACCAGCCAATCCCCACACTGCTTCCATAGTTCAGCCATTGCAAAAATTATCTATCTATCAAACTGATTATCTATCTATCTCCACATTTTAACCTGAAATAAATAAATCAAATCTAAAAACAGTATGGATTTAACACATATGATGCAAATAAATATAAATCCCTTAATTTCTAGTTTAAACTGTCAATTTATTATTAATTTATTATTGCCACGCTGAACTTGTGAATTTTGGTTGGAAAGCGGAAATTGTGTATTTTGTTGAGGCTGACTTGAACCAATACTATATTGTTATTTTGATTGCTCCAAAAATGAGCAAATTGCTAAGAAAATTTTTAAAACTTTGATTATTGTTTTTTTTTGACACTGAATAAAATGTCAAGGAAATAAAAAAATGTGCTGTTAAATTTATCATTTGAAATAAAGTCAATAAATGGAAGACAAAAGTTTAGAAAAGTTCTATAAATCATAATTATTAATGTTCCAATTCCCTAATCACAGTTTATTTTGTGTAAATTTGTTTGTTACAATAGGAGTATATTTTGTTAAGCAATCTAAACCAGGATTTCCCATTGGTTAGGATTTGAAATCCATACCTATCATTGGTTAAAACTCATGTCAGCCCTTTGATTGGACTAAAAACAATGTCTAGNTTCAAATGTAATTTTCCCCCAGCACTTTATTGGGGTTTTGTCTCCTGAATTAGGCGAAAATAAGTGATTTTTTGGGTAAGAGGTATCCAAAAAAGAGTAAAAACTGCCAATTGATGTCCAATTTCGAACCTAGAAAAAAACAGAAGTGTATAATTTTAAGAATAATATCAGGATTTTTGATGAATTGGGTGGAATAAAATGAAAAATTGGAAATCTAAGTTTTTAACATCCCTTTCCATGCATTTCCTAAAAAAATCACAAATCTAATCCCTTTAAATATTTTTTTTCTAGAACAATCACTCCCTCCCCCTCTCCAACCATTATTTTTCTCCAATACATTAAGACTTAGTTAGGTTTCCGTACCCGGAAATACATGATTTTTTGGGTAAGAGGTTTCCAAAAAGGAAGGAAAATTGCAAGTTGATGTCCGATTTTAATAGTTTTTACTTTTTTAAAAAATCTTGGAAAGATGTTTTTCATAATGCATTACAATTATCTAGAAAACAATAGCAGTACTTCACAACTTTAAACATAAAAGGAAAAGTTAAATAATTACCTGTTTAAAGTAACGGTCTCAAGAACTTTAAAACATTAAAGGGAAAGTTAAATAAATACCTGTTTAAAGGGACGGTCTCAAGAACTTTAAACATTAAATGGAAAGTTAAATAAATACCTGTTTAAAGGAACGGTCTCAAGAACTTTAAACATTAAAGGGAAAGTTAAATAATTACCTGTTTAAAGGAACGGTCTCAAGAACTTTAAACATTAAAGGGCAAGTTAAATAATTTCCTGTTTAAAGGAACGGTCTCAAGAACATTAAACATTAAAGGAAAAGTTAAATAAATACCTGTTTAAAGGAACGGTTTCAAGAACTTTAAGCATTACAGGGAAAGTTAAATATTTACCTGTTTAAAGGAACGGTCTCAAGAACTTTAAAGATTAAAGGGAAAGTTAAATAATTACCTGTTTAAAGGAACGGTCTCAAGAACTTTAAACATTAAAGGGAAAGTTAAATAATTACCTGTTTAAAAGGACGGTCTCAAGAACTTTAAACATAGGGAAAGTTAAATAATTACCTGTTTAAAGGAAAGGTCTCCTGGTTAAACGATAGATCACAGAGAGTTTATTACAATAATAAATCATCAGCCTGGAAACCAGTTTGGTCTGGAGTGCCCCAAGGGAGTGTCCTTGGACCGTTGTGTTTTTTTATATATATAAACATACTTGACCTAGTAATTAGAGATGTCCAAACTTTTCTGTCCAAGTTTGCAGATGACTCTAAGGCTGGAAGGAAAGTTAATACAGATAAGGATAGAGAAGCACTACAATGTTCATTAAATGCATTAACTCAATGGGCACAGGACTGGAAGATGGAATTCAACGAGTCAAAATGTAAAGTTTTACACATTGGAAAGAATAATCCAAGATATGGGTACCAAATGAATGGTGTAAATCTGGAGGTTTCAGACAAAGAGAAAGATGTTGGTGTAATGATACAGGAGGATCTAAAACCCTCTAAACAGTGTGCTACTGATGCAGCCAAGGCGAATAGTATTTTAGGCCAGATGGCCAGATCTTTCTCCTATAGGATAAAACTGTATGGATCTCACTGTACAAAACCTATATCAGGCCCCACCTTGAATACTGTATTCAAGCCTGGAATCCCTGGCTATTTCTCAGCTATAGATTCTGTATCTGTAAGTGCCGATGCAAACTAAACAAATATTCAATTAATTTATCAATCAGTCAAACGTGAACCAATCGATCAAGCCAATCAATTAATCAATCAAACGCCGATCAATTGATCTAGCCTATTCATTGATAAACTAAAAAATCTGTAATGAACAAGGACCAAAGATCAAGATCAGTTCACCAATAATGAAATAAACCCTTTAAAATGCATACACAAATAAAAAATAATAATTTGCATTTTTAACGAAACAACCCCCGCCAAAAAATGTTAAATTGATTTGGTTTCCTTTTATTTCTGAATTAAAAAAAAAGTTCGGGTAAAAAGTTAACAAATTCCTCTCCTTCCCCTCTAAACTAATACGTCTGCCTTGCCCTTAACCCAAAACATACCTTAGTTTTGATTATACCAGGGGCGACACAGTTAACCCTAATGTTATCAGGGGCAGTCTCAGTGGCTAGTGCCTAAATAGATAGATAGATTAGATTATTATTATTATTAGCAGAGAACCCATCGTTTCATGATCAAAAAATAAATCTTACAAGGCTTGTTCATATAGAAATCACATGAATAACAAAAGAAAGGTAAAAGCAGTGCTTAGGATCCATTTAATTTTGATGCGGATCCGGATCCTGAATCCGCACTGGAAAAAATGGATCCGGATCCGGATCCAGGTCATTTCTTTAAGATTTACTGAATTTTTCAAAAAAAAAATAATTTTCAAATTTTTTAAATTTTTTTATTTTTATTTTAAAACTTGTTTAACCATTCAGAAATGAGGAAATTTTTATAATCTCTTTTTTTTCTAAAGTTCAGAGTGAGTTTTATGAGTAAAAAGTTGTTCTTGCAGTTTTTGGTTGATATTTTACCCCTTGGATCCGGATCCGGATCCAGGAAGCCAAAATCTTGCGGATCCAACGGTTCCGGATCCGGATCCTAAGCACTGGTTAAAAGACATCTGCTTGTGGCTAGGGTAAAATTATGAAATGAATATGGATATCTATATTATTGTACCTTAGTAAGACCAAGAAGCGCTGTTTTACTGACACTATATGGACCAAGGAACGGGATGGGCTGGTAACCTAGAAATACATTTATTCTCAGGAAAAATATCTGAACGCACGCCCCCCGTTTTAGATGCTCAGGGAAAAAGGAAAAATATTTTTGATTATTTTACCAAAAATTTCCTCTAAAAACGTATCTTATTCTGCGAATATGATTCAATCTTAATTAGACAAAGCATTTGCGGGTACCCTTGTTAATTGGACATCCAACTAAATGGAGTCACTTAGAATACGACTCAAGTTACTTAGATAAGATAAGATAAGATCTGAAACCCCCCCCCCCTCTTGGAGAGCCCAGACCGCCATCGGGGCTAACTCTCAAGAGCTTCGGCACCCCCCGGCTCCCAAATACTATGGGAAGTTGAGAATAAATATTATTTTAAGAAGAAATAAGAGATTTGATAATCTTTAATTCTGTTTTCTCATAATAAAACATTAAATAATAAAAATTAAACTTGCTTAACAAAACTATCTGAAGGAGAAATATCGTAAGAGAAACTCCCATCGCTGGAACCAGTGGCATACATCAATTTTTGACATCAAAAGTATGGTTTAGACACTTGACGATGTTAATTAATATATATTTAGATTTGAACAACACGTTAAAATTGTTTATGTCTCACATAAACATCGATAATTTAAAAGGAAGACGATATTCGAGAGAAAATTTTTTTTTGTACGATGTCCCCTTCAATAATACGTTTTAGAACTAACTGCATATTTATTTGTTTAAGCTATAAATGTTAAATGTTTTTTTAATATACAATGTTTTTTAATGTTTTAGATTGAATTGACTCACCTCCAATACTTGATATAAAAACAGCAGAGCCACCTCCTCTCGCCTTCATCAAGGGTACACAGTCTACAGATCAATCAAATAAAAAAATACATCAATAAATCAATCAATCAATCAATTGTAGATCAGTTTCCTCTTCAATCAATCAATTAACCCAGGGTAGATCAGTTTCCTCATCAATCAATAGATCAATCAATCAGCCAAAGGTAGATGAGTTTCCTCATCAATCGATCAATCAAAGTATATACGTTTCTTCATCAAGTAATCAATCGATCAATCAACCAAGGGTAGAGTAGTTTCCTCATCAATCAACCAATTCTTGGGAAATATACAGAATGCGACTTCATTAAAAAATTGTTAAAGGTTTTTTACTATTTATTTCTCAGAATATTCAAATCACTATAGAAATATTAAAACTTTCGTTTGTCTATTGGTTAGTTTAGTAGTAGGTTTGGATTCAAAACCGTCAATATAGTCCTCGCAAGACCCTGGGGTGGAAAGTGAAATCAAAAAACTTAAAATCCAAAAATGAAACAAAAAATGTGCGAAATTGTTATTGATTGATAATTTAAAATGAGTAAAAGAAACGATTTAAAGAAACGCAAAGCATCATAAAAGCCTAGAAACCGATAAAACAACAACTGTAAGCGTAATTTCAAGTTACTCTCCATGGAAAGATGGCAATGTCCGATTTACAACGGTACCCTTCAAAGCTTTGTCTGATTAAGTATGAATTATGAATAATGTTTTTTTTAAACTTTAAACTTTTTATTTTCATTTGCAATTTTTCTGCGAAAGTGACTTGGGCAAGAAGCAAGGAGAAACTCACAGAAATGAACACTTTTCGAGTCATAAAAACGACGGTATCTTCCACAATTTTTATCAGATTAAGGTTTCAAGGGTTGTAAAATTTAATTTAAATAAATTATAGTTAAAAAGGTTTCAAGGGTACCCTTGTAAATCAGACATGGCCATCTTTGCAAGGAGGGTTACTTATGCGTACAAGTTTTTACCTCTGAAAAGAAGGAAAGCAGTTTTCACATTGATCTCGAAAATTTTATCCCAGGTCTCTTCTGGACAGTCAAGAATATGACCGAAAAACGGGTTTACAGCAGCATTGGAGACTGAAACAAAAACATAGATTTGAAGAAGTGCTTAGGGTCCATTTTAGTTTTAAGTGGATCTGGATCCAGGTCATGAATATTTCTTAAAAAGTTCAGATTTTTTAACAAAAGATTTTTATATCATTGACTGTCTGTTTTATCAAATAAATTTTAAAACGGCTGAACCGATCAAGCTCAAGTTGAGGCAACTCATGTGACCCCGGGGAAAAACCTTCCCTGGGGTCACATGAGTTCCTAAGAATTACAAAAAGTTGTAAAAATTTCGAAAATCCACGACGAATAATATTATCAAATCCGTGACTTTTTTAGTTATTATTTTATGTTGTACAAAAAGAAGAAGCTCACAGATAAAGACACACTAAAAGTTGAAATAGCATAGAAATAAATAAGATCCTAACCAAGAATATCAAGTCCACCAAACTTCTCGACCGCCAAGCTCAGGAGTTTCCTTCTATCCTCCTCCTTACCCACGTGACACACGGTCCCTTACAAGGAAACAAAATAAAGGCCTTGCTACAAGTTAAAATATCAAGGTTTGACAAAGAAGTAAAAAATCTCAACGTCCAGATTTAGCTGTCAAGATATGGCTAAATATCTCAATGTCGAGATATGACATGTCAAAATTTTAAGATACGGCTTCGTTTCTAAATGTCAAGATTTAGTTTTGTCTCTTACTATTTAACTTTTAAAGTCATTTTTCAAGATAAGGGAAAAGTAAAAGAGAACCAAAAAAAATTTATTTAATAAAAATAATTAGAACCTCTCTATAGTACCTATAACATCAAGTCCTGCAGATTTTAACTCTTCAACTGCATTCAGAACATTCTTCTCCTAAATATTATCAAATGGAAGTTACTTCTTGTAAAAACTTAAATCTCCCCCCCCCATAATTCTGAAGAAAATTGGTTAAAATACATAAATTAAATATTAGAGTGAAAAACCTGCTATTTAAGGTCAACCCCCCTCCCCCTGACCATCGAAATAATACTTTGAAATAATTTTATAAGAACGTTTACCTTTCTGCTACTTATCACAACCTGTGCCCCATCTGTTGCCAATTTTTTAGCAATAGCAAATCCAATACCATCAGTTGAAGCCGTAACAACTGCTACTTTTCCTTGAAAAATTTTAATTTGCCAACAACAAAAAAACTAATTTATGTAACAAATTTGAGTCGAAAATTAATTTTTAAAAGCCTCATAATAGCACCAAAAATAAAATTCAATTTGTACCTTACAATGTTTTTTTTTTAAATTACATAATCGATTAAAAAATGAAAATAATTAATGTATAATAACAAATGAAAATGAATTTTAAAAAGCCTCATAACAGCCCTAAAATTCACAAATTCACCTAAAAATACTTTTTTAATTTACATATAAGCGTGAAAAAAATTATTTTTGTAAAACATGAAAATGAGTCAAAAGTGAGTTTTAGAAGGCTCATAAAAGCGAAAATAATTAATGTCCTGTAACCAATAAAAATGCGCTAAAAATAATTATTAAAAGCCTCTTAATAGCACTAAAATTAAGAAACTTAAGTTTTTTTAATTTAGTATGTTAAAAACAGAATCTTACTTACTCAGTAAACTTAAATATCTAAGTAAATGAATCTGTAAAGATAAAATCAACGAACACCTACCTTCCAGTTTGCCAGAAAGTCTGGCATTTGTAGTGCTCCAATTTCTGGCAAGTGTAGTTCCGGTTTGAACTTAACAAAAAATTGTATTAAAATGAATTGTTCAGGCCTTTTCAAACAGCATATTATTTTAAGTGGTGACCCTTTTTTAACAAGAGTGTACTGCCGATTCACAACGGTACCAATTGATTATTTAACTGAATAGCAATAGGATGACGTTGTAAATAATACAATCTTAAAATGATTGATATCTGTAATTTGCGTTCTTTGTTTCTAATATTTAAAATGGAAACCCATAAAATTTTCTAAAAATAAAAGTTTAAAGGGTAGCGTCGTGAATAGAATATGCCTCTCTATAAACCTATTCTTCTTAGGTGATAAATTATCAAATATAATTTTTTTTTTAAATATAAATGTATAAGAATATTTTGTTTCATTTAAGAAACAGTATTAGGTAATTTCCTAGTATACGATTTTTGGACCCCCCCCCTCCTATCAATTTTGTACATGGGTGTGACAGGAAGTTTCATAACCTAACCTAACCCGTGGCCGCAGCGCTCGGCCCCCTAGCCCATCCTAGCCGCAGCGCTCGGCCCCCTAGCCCATCCTAGCCGCAGCGCTCGGCCCAGAAAGTATCTTAACTTAACCTACCCGTGGCCGCAGCGCTCGGCCCAGAAAGTGTCTTAAACTAACCTAACCCTAAATAACAAAAATAAATAATAATAAATTTGCTGAAAATAAATGGTCATGTACAAAATTGATAGGAGGGGGGGGCTGGGGGGGGGTCCAAAAATCGTATACTAGGACAGACCCCAGTATTAATATTTAATCCTACCTTACGATAACAATAATCAAAATGTTCTGGAATTCTTACCGATATGTTTAGTTCTATGCATTTTTATTAACTCTTTTACAATAATAATAATAAGAGCTAGAGGAGGAATAAATGAAATTCAAGAGTTGTAAGTTTTTTCCAGTCGGTTACTGTTTTATTTGAATAATCTCAAATGCCGCACAGAGTTTTCTGTTTTATTGTAATCAAACTTCACGTCGTCTTCGTAATTTTTTATTACGCTCTTCTAAACAGGGATGTACAAAATTAATTACATCTATTCGATGAAATAAATAAATAATTTAAACTCCGATTTATTTGCTTTTTTATATATGCCGTTTTCATTGCTATGGACAATTACAGAAAAAAATTATGGAAAAAATTGTTTTGAACACCCCTAAATTGTGTACTCCGGTTCTAGTGTTTTCTCGAATTTCGTATTAAGCGGCAAGAGTTAGAGCAAGTGGGTTCTCGCGCATTTGAATCTACTAAATTTACTGTTGAATGTTAAAAATGTTAACGTAATTTTAACAAGTTCAAGGTAGGGTTTTTACCATGGTTAGAAATATATGAATGCTAGGAACCATTTTGAACTTGACCCGGCGCGATCATGAAAAAATAAATAAATTAAATTTATTGATTTGTTGTNAAAAAGCGTTTAATAGAACAGACCCACACCTTTAGTATTTTTGAATACTGTAAATTAGTAAAATTATTTTCGTATTAGGTTATCAACCAATTGTAGCCGTTTTTGTATATTATGATTCACTTTACTACTATAGCAAGCATAATTTACCGTTAAAGTGAATTAATTCTATTAAATATAATATATAGTTTACCGTCAAAGTGAATTAATTCTATTAAATAAAATAGTTTGAATTGCAAAGCGCATTGAGCTTGTACAAATACGTCAAAAGTTCTGGTTTGGGTGATTTCCTAGAGAAGGATATTTGGAAAAATGTACATATTTGGAAAAAATGTACATATTTGGAAAAAATGTACATGTTTGGTAAAAATGTACATATTTGGAAAAAATGTACATATTTGGTAAAAATGTACATATTTGGAAAAAATGTAAATATTTGGAAAAAATGTACATATTTGGAAAAAATGTACATATTTGGAAAAATGTACATATTTGGAAAAAATGTACATATTTGGAAAAAATGTACATTTATATTTTTTTTAATCTTAAGTTTTATTTTGAACCACTTGCACTTGTTTAAAGTTGGACATGTGGCCACGTTGTCCTGTCCCGACGTATCCTAACTTAGTCGCAGCGCTTGGCCCCCCCTAGTCGGTCATAACCACAGCGCTTGGCCTATAATTTGTCTTAACCTATCCTGACCTAACCCTGGAATATTACAATACTACAACAAAATTGAAGGTAATTTCTTAGAGAAGGATTTTTCCCTAAATCATAAATATTGAGGAGTTTGACTTTGACTATTTTAGATGGATCGGCCTGGGAAAGCCCCTGAAGGAGCGAAGGAGGTGGAAGAATTCTTTGGCGTGTACTTATTGTACTGTTTAAACCCTAGGTTGGTATATGGCGTGTACTTATTGTACTGTTTAAACCCTAGGTTGGTATATGGCGTGTACTTATTGTACTGTTTAAACCCTAGGTTGGTATATGGCGTGTACTTATTGTACTTTTTAAACCCTAGGTTGGTATACTTTCAGTAGATTTCATAACCATTGAAGCTGTGAAGGGGGGGGGTAGGTTTTCCGTATATGTTATTGAATTACCTAATAATTTTTTCTGGAATTCTTAAAATATGTTGAATATTGATTAAAAAAAGCGAAAAGTTTGAAGTTTAGTTTTACTTTTGAACCATTTCAAAATGTTGGCCATTCAGTAGTTTTGCCATTCATTTTATTCTTGAAAATGTTCAGGTTCTTTGCATTTTTGACATCTTGTGCTCAAAAAAATCCGGTATATTTCAGTTTAAAGGATCACTTGAGCTTAAAAAACGTTAAGTCCTTTCAAGTTAAGTTTGATTTTTTAACCATTTAATATAATATATTTCTACAATACTTGGAATTGGAATCGATCAGCAGGGGGGGGGGGGGGTTTTTTCATGAAAATATATACCTTATTTGTTCAGGTATAAAGGAAGAACCTATATTGGATTTACAGTAGATCCAAACAGAAGAATTCTTCAGCACAATAGGTAAAAAATTGTTATATTTTTTACGATTCTTATGAGCCCCGTAAAATGGTCTCCGAGCCTCCGTATTTGCAGATTCGCATGAGATTAAAGAAGTAATCAGTAACATTTTTTACTGCTTTATTTTTAAATAGTTATGCAGTATTTTCTTGAATTTCCAAAAAACTTTGCTTAAATATCTGTTCTAAAAAATGTTATACATTGCTTCTATAGTATCTATTCTAAAGATAGCTCCAGGTCATTTTTAAAACTTATCTGCGAATCCTGAGACTTGGAGACCGTTTTGCGGGGCTTATGTCGTCCCTGACCCCCCCCCCCCTTTTTCTTTTTAAATTCTGAAAAGGTAAAGATAAAGTCGATATATAAGTTCCTCGTCAAATCTTATGAGTTTTCCAAATTTAGAATTTAGCTCGAATAAAATTGTTAAAAAGAGAAGGAGGTTAATGTATCCTTTTAGTTCTTCGTCTAAAGTTCTTTACTGTTCTTTGAAAGCCCATTTAAGTTTATCGTTAATAGTCCGTTTTAAATTAAAAGCCAGGGTGTTACTTTTATTATAATAAGTAATGGTTTTTTTCCTTGAACTGGATCGAAATAAATTATTTTTGGTAGATAATTAAGTTTTTTGGGCAACCATATCTAAAAGATAACAAATTGATTTCACAATTTTTTCGTTTTTTAACCCAAGATCTTCAAAAATCATTTCTTAGTTCATATTCTTAAAATGATTCACCCCTGTAGCTAGTAGTTTATTGTTAACAGGATTACGATTATCTCTGTTACCCCTATTAAGTCTTATGATGATCTAGAGGAACCCAGGCTGGAGGAGCAAGGAGAACCTCTAGTAAAGGACCATGGGAAATGGTTCTAATCACGCACGGTTTCCCTAACGAGATCTCGGCTCTTAGGTTAGATGGGGGAAACAATTCTGTTGAAATTCCAACTCGATCATTAACTCTTCGTCACTCATGCTCTGCCAGTCTATTTATTATCCTCCCTTTCATTCATTGTGAACACTTCCTTTAATATCCATCCTTTCATTCATTGTGAACACTCGCTTTAATATCCATCCTTTCATTCATTGTGAACCCTCTCTTTAATATATATCCTTTCATTCAGTGTGAACACTTCCCTTTTTTATCCCATTCAATCATTGTTAACCCTCCCTATATTATCCTCCCATTCAATCATTGTTAACCCTCCCTATATTATCCTCTTATTCAATCATTGCTAACCCTCCCTTTATTATCCTCCCATTTAATCATTGCTAACCCTCCCTTTATTATCCTCCCATTCAATCATTGCTAACCCTCCCTTTATTATCCTCCCATTTAATCATTGCTAACCCTCCCTTTATTATCCTCCCATTTGATCATTGCTAACTCTCCCTTTATTATTCTACCATTTAATCATTGCTAACCCTCCCTTTATTATCCTCCCATTTGATCATTGCTAACTCTCCCTTTATTATTCTACCATTTAATCATTGCTAACCCTCCCTTTATTATCCTCCCATTTAATCATTGCTAACCCTGTTTATTATCCTCCCATTTAATCATTGTGAATCCTCTTTTTAATCTACTACCCTTCATTTTTCGAGAAATGACCCTTTTTTATTTTAATTTGCGAACAGTCTCTTTGTTTAAGATTTGAATGGTCTTGGCAGCATCCCCAGCGGTCCCGGCGGCTCAATCAACTGCCGGCCAAGAAATCTGCCGAAAAATCCTACGATTACTGTCTACGGTAGTTATTAGTTTATTAGCAAAGAAGGCAATGCCCGATTCACAACAGTACCCTTAAAACCTTTATCTGATAAATAACAATGTGGAAGATATTACGCTTTTTTAGATTCAAAAGTTTATTAAGAAGACCTGATAATTCCTATGTACACTTTAGTGGTCCCTTTAAGATTAGTTGGTAACAAAGCAGTTTTTTGTAAATTTAAGAAGGGATTGAGACGGAGGAGGAGGGGGGGGGGTTGAGTTTTACTTCATTATTAACTATGATTGTTTTGTAATTAGCCATCAAAATTTTTAAATCCGTTGCCATGAAGGTTTTAGGATATTTGTTAATATTTATTTTTATTGTTTACTTTATGTCCAGGGTCCAATATAGTTTTTAATTTATGAATTCATTTACAAAATTATTTTTTTAATTAACTATTATTTTGAGGTTTAAAACTAAAATTTGAAAAAAGATTTTTTATTTTTGTAGAATACTCGCCAGTATGCTGAAACTTGAGCCATGGTCTAGGTAAACAAATTTAATCTTAAAGGGACTGTATGCGTAATCTCAAGTGACCCTCCATGCAAAGGAGCCCGATTTACAACGGTACCCTAGAAACCTTTATTTGATCTATGATGTTGAAGATATTGCCGTTTTTCTAGGATTAAGAATAAAGATTAAATTAATCTTAGATAAACGAAAGATCGAGATCAAATTATTAATCTAAATATCCACAATTCACTAGTTTCAACATAAGAGTATATATTTCTCCCACCCCCGAATTCTCAAGAAACATTTGGTGAAGGATTTTTTTATACTGCTGAATTTAGATATTGAAATAAAAAATCTAAGTTTCGGGGCCCTGCACAACACATCCAAATAAAACGCAAGACAAAATTAGTTTTAAATAAAAATAAACGTTTTAAATTATCACACCCATGATATACGCCAACAAAACCAATTAAAATAAATTCTCCTTTTAGATTACCCCTGACAGTCCGCTGGTTGAATCCCGACTATGAACGTGAGTTCCCCCCCTCCCTCTCCCCGCCCCTTCATATACCTATTGTTTATGGTCCAGTGAAAAGTATAAAGAAGAAGAAGAATAAGGAAGGCAAGGAAGAGAATCAGGCAAGGGTATATAAACATATGCAAAATCATCTTATACATATAGAGCCACGGAATATAGTGGTTTTGTTTGCGCGGAGTAAATTTTGTTTCAATGTTTCAAATTTCAACTAAATTAAATATGTTGCATTTGCCCAAACCCCCCCTCTCCCCAGGTATCATAAGCTAGATAGGACTATCTTTCATATTAATTGTCACACAAACTGCCAAACAATCGACAATGATCTAACTGGATATCCAGTTTTTTCTTTTTTTAAATGTTTTTAATGCGAGTTATCATTATTTTTCTGGCGAAAGATTTTTAGATTTAAAAAGACTGTAAGTGCAATTGCATGTTTTTCTTGGTTTATAAGTGTTAAATTATAATTACAATTCGTTTCCTGGCGTAGAAATGCGCAATTAACTTTTTGAGAGATATCACAATTGAACATTTATCAGTTTTCAAAGTCATAAACATTTGATACTGTTATATATCAGACTTTCCCATCTTCGCACCGAGGGTCACCTGAAATTTGTGGAAAGTAATTTTAAATACATTTATTTTACTTTCATAAAATATTTTTTTCTGCGTTATTTTATTTTAATATTAAAATATTGAATTGATTTTTATCTTCAATACGCTGCTATGTACAATATTTTTAGTTTTTGAATTGTCAGTAATTTATAGTATATAAAGATTATGATGATATTTTTTTAACTTGAAACGACAGATAAAATAATAAACAGCGTTAGCCTTAAAGAATTTCATGATATATACTCTAGTTTCGTTGAGATCGATTAGTCTTTTTTCTAGATCGTGTTAATAATAATAATAATAATAAAAAGAATTTTAACTTGTTATGTACAGGGAAAGTGCAGTACATGTGACTGCGTACTGCTGTGGGGAGACCTTGTACGTAAGAAGAAAGGTTGTTACGAAGCCGTTCACGATGATGAATTCCTGGAAGACAGTGATTCTTAAATCTTGAAAAAATCGCCTGATAAACAACATTTTCTTCTTTTTTTGTGAACAGTGGAGTGTTAAATTATTTTTATGTTGATCGATAGTCATAATCACGATTGCATGATCTCGATATCCACAGTGGGAACTTAAAATTTGAGGATTTTTTTTTTATTACTACCTTTCCATATCTTTATTTTAGTTATTCAGAGCTCCCTTCAAGTTTCAACCCCTGACTGGTTACGATTACAATGCGGGATTTCTTCCACAAATATGTTATAATTTACTGTCATTTATTGTTGTATAAATCTATTTGCCTTTATTCGGATAATATTTTTTTGTTACGTATATTGGCAGTACCCGATTAGTTTTTAACTTTTTAGATAATTTGTTTTTTAATCTGTACTGACTAGTGTAAGCCTCGATGTTGGTCTGGGCTCTCNTGATCTCACGGATAGATTGTCAGAGACTACCTATCCATAATCATCATCATATTGCTTGTATAAAGCTTAATTTAAGTGACCCTCCATGGCAAAGATGTCAATGCCCGATTTACAATGGTACTCTTGAAATGTGGTTTTCTCACTCGAAAAGTGTTATTTTCTGATAGGTCTCCATTGTTTCTTACAAGCACGAAATGCGCAAGTCTCTTATGCAGAGAAAACCCATATGAAAATTAAAAGTTATAAAAATAAAACACGGATATCCAATCGTACCAATGTGATTCGGGCATTCCATATTTGCATTGAGTGTTACTTGAAATAACTTAATAATTTTGTAATAATATGGTAACAATAAACTACATAATAGATATATTAGATCCCAAATTTTTATAAAATATATACATATATACATAATATTTCTTTATAAGTGTAAACTTCAGTAAAACTAAAAATGAATTGTTATATATTGACGTCTTCAAAAATGTATTGTGACATCATAGCATTCTCATCATATACATTTTCCTACAAAAGTATTCTAATCATGTATTTTCAGACAAATCTTTCTGACTGATGATTATAGAATGTAGATGAATCACAAAGATACTGTCTGGTGTTCAGTGAATAAGGACTCGAGACCCCGGAGGCCTCTAGCGGTGACAACTTGAACTGATACAATGAGTAAATTGATAAAATCTCGACATACCCCGTCAATCTACAGGTGAATATCATTTATAGTAATAGAACTGATATCCATCTATCTTTGTATCGCATATTTTAAACCGTGAATGCTGGCATCAGATCAAACTCAAAGTGTTCATTTGTCAGACTAGTACAAACGTCGGACGGGTCCATTTTTAAGAAAAAACGTCGGACTATGGTTGAGTTTGGTAAAAATCAACTGAATAAAGTCTCATCCTTTTAAGGTGGTAGCACTGCATAAAACAACAGACCAAAAATGAATTGAGTTCAATTGTCGCAAACTCTGATGTTTCAATATGCCTATATCTTTGCATATATCTTTCGTATAACCTTTAATATTTCAACCTATGAATTCTATAAGATCAAACAGTTTTAGTTTGAAAGTATTAAAGGTTAATACTATTACCAGGTTGCAAATATTTAGAGATGAGAATATTTGAGTTAGTGACAAGAACTCAGTAACTTTTGGTAGATTTGTATTAACCAGTAGATAAAAGGAAATAACCTCAAGGAAAAAATCTTAAAATTCAAATAATTGTTTCCTTAGTCCGACGTTTGTACTGGTCTCACGTTAGTACTGTCCGACGTTTGTACCAGTCCTACGTTTGCACTAGTCCAACGTTTGTACTGTCCGACGTTTGTTAGTNGTGGATCCAAGAGATCCGGATCTATTGAGCTTTAATGTTGTGGATCCAATGGATTAGGAATCATCGAGCTTTATTGTTGTGGAAAACCAATTGATCCGGTTCCATGGAGCTTCAATGTTGTGGATCCAATTAATCCAGATCAATTGAGCTCTAATGTTGTAGATACAATTGATCCAGACTCATTGAGCTTTAAATTAATTGTGGATCCAGTGAATCCGGATTCATGAAGCTTTAATGTTGTGAATCCAATTGATATGTATCCATGGATTTTTAATGCTGCGGCTCCAATTGATACGGATCTGGAGTGTAAATGTTTTGGATCCAATGGATACGGATCTATTAATGTTTTGCATGCAATGAATCTGGTGGAGCTTAAATGTTGTGAATCCAATAAATCTATATCAATGAAGTTTAAATGTTTTGAGTCCAATGAATCAGGATCCATGGAGCTTAAATGTTGTGAATCCAATGGATCCGGATCCTAAGCACTGCTACATGAGTGAAAATACCCTTTAAAAATTCACGATTCATTAAAACCCAAACATACAAGGGTAAGTGACCAGGAGCTCAACCCTGGAGCTCAACGTAACATACATAGCATACAGGACATGATACTTTCACTGTGGGTTGAATTATAATAATAATAATAATAATAATAATTTGTGTAGAAGGTGGGAAAGCATAGTTCTGGTGATGAGAGCTCTGAGGATGGATCAGGATCTGATTCCTCAGATATGGATGTAGAGGTAGGTTTCAAACTTTATTCGAGGATTTTCTAGCAAGGGTGTACTAACTGTACATTTTATTACATTTTATTCAAAAATTATTCCCCAACCCCACTTCAAATTTTCCCCTAAGTTAAAATGACTTTTTTTCTCGCTTAGTTGGGGGTAATAAGAATAGAATAGTGAGGACACAAACATGTTATTTAAAGAATTAATTTCTCTTTAAACCTCTCATTCATCAAAACACGAGGGTATGAATGATGTGGGGGAGGGGTCAGGTCGAAGAAATCTAATAATGATATAGGGTAATTATCTTATAAAATGATAAAATTATTATAAATACGGTTTTGACATACATTGACGAGGAACACGATTTAAAAGCAGTCAAAGAACGATGCTGGGATTTATATTTTCTTCACGATTAACCCCCCCCACCCTTCCCTCTAAAGTCAAATTAAAAAAATTTTGAATTAAAAATTTATTTAGGAGGGAGAAAAACGGAGAGAATCCTATATTGAGGACTTGACAGAACTTGAGAATCAGTTTACCATTCTGCGGGAACAGTTATACAGGTATTGCAGCCCAGCCAAATATCGTCTTCATTGTAAAAATTAATCCGCCAAAACTAGATAATTCAAATCTTCGAATTAATAGATAGATTTCATTCTTTTGCAACGTTGGTTTCAATATTTGATTTTGGTATTAAAGCTTTCAGTAGACAAAACAATCAAATTGGTAATTGAATTTATTGTATATGAATTTAAGATTTAAGATGAATTTGTTGTAAATATTTTTGATATTGATTGATTGATTGATTGAATGATTGGTCGATTTTATGATTGATTGATTGATTAGGGAGAGGTTGACCCAGATTGAATCTAAGCTGGCTGAAGTGAAAGCTGAACGGGCTCAGGAGTACATTCAACCATTAGAGGAACTACAGGTACTGCAATGCAATGCTCGTTAACATTACACGTGTTAGGTTAGATTAATGTTTATAGGCATTAAGGTTTATGTTTAAACTTTAGGGAGTTAGTAATTTTTAATTACTTTTTGTTTATTTATTACAGCTAGTAATTTTTAATTACTTTTTGTTTATTTATTACAGCTGAGCTTTGAATAGTTTTTAATAAATGATAGTTGTAAAACAATTTATTATTTTCTTTTATTTGAAAAAATGGTTCAAGACTTAATAAGGTTCATTCATTTCGTCATCACTAATTATTGCCCGTACGTCTGCAGACTATTTTTCTCTTTTATCCACTATCCATGCTTTTTTTTTCTGAGTAATTTTCTGAGTCCAATTTACCTCTTGGAGCGTTTGGGGGATCATATCGAAGTTTTTTTTTGTGTCGTTTGAAAACAAATAAATAATTGTAAAAATTATAAAATGAATTGTAAATAATTGCTAAAATATTTGACAGGTTTTAATAACTTCTTCTTTTAGGAGAACATGAGAATACAGTTGGAGGTTGGTGCCATTCTCCGACAGTTAAGACAGGTAGCTATTTGATTTTTTTTCTAAATTTTTCAGAGCTTGGAACCTTTAAATGAAACTATTTAAATTTGATTTTAATGTGTTAATCAGCTGAAACATATATTCAAAATCTAATTTGTAATCAAAAAGTTTCTAGACTTTTTATGAGCTTACGTTTAGCTTAAATGGACTGTTAATTTCAAGTTACCCTCCTCCATGCAAAGATGCCAAGGCCCGATTTCCATCATTTATCTAATTAATAATTAGAAAAATACTTTTTTGGTTTAATTCTGAGCTCGAGATTTAAAAACTTCGACTCGTAATTCTTTAAACCCGACTTAAAGACAGAATCTTCGACCCTACTCTGACGACAGCTTGTGTCACGCGATTGACAGCTGCAAAATCTTCCGCTCGACTTAAGGAGATTGGCCCATTGAAAATAAAACCAACTGTGGTTGGTTTTAGTGGAGAATAAGGCTCAATGTTGAGTCTTGTTCTCATAAAAACTGGGAATGAGCCGATTCCTACCATGAAAATCCGCCAAATAGAATGTTAAACCGGTTTTTTGAACTCAACTCTGTGGAAATCATACATGATCAGACAAAGCATTTAAAATGGCACCGTTGTGAATCGGGCATTGCCATCTTAGAGGGTAACTTACAATTACGCTTGTTAATCATCCCTTTAACTTAATCTCATTAATAAGTTTTCACGTCAGAAATAAGACGCAAGACCAGTGCTTAAGATCCATTTAATTTTGATGCGGATCCGGATCCGCACTGACAGAATGGCGGTAGGCTTGGTGACGTCACCGAGGCTGGGAGACCAGTTTTGCGGGGCCTGGAGGTAATTCTGCAAATCCTGAGGTTCGGAGGTCATTTTTGCGGGGATCATGGCGCCTCTGCACCCCCTCCCTCATTGTGTATAGGAGAATACCCAGTGTTAATGTTAGATAATTACAAAAACAGAATTTAACTAATCTTGTGTATTGTGTATAGGAAAATACCCAGTGTTAATGTTAGATAATTACTAAAACAGAATGTAACTAATTCTTGTGTATTGTGCATAGGAGAATATCCAGTGTAAATACGAGGCTGAAGAGCTAGCCTCGAAACAGAATTATGAATCTGAAAAACAGCTGGTATTCGACGGAGTTAAGGTCAGATGTTTGATTGATAGATTTCTTTTAAAATTTGATTGACTGTCATATAGATTGTTTGTTTTGATGATTTTTGATGTTTTTGACGGAATTAAGGTCAGAAGAGTGATGTTGATTGATTGAATGATTGAATGATTGAATGATTGAATGATTGAATGATTAAATGATTAAATGATTAAATGATTAAATGATTGAATGATTGAATGATTGAATGAATGTTTTAATTGTTTTATATGTTTTATATGTTTATATTAATTTTTTAACGCCAGGCTGAACTTGAAGAGAAAACAAGGCGGTTGGAAGAGGACAAAAATAATGTAGATTTTAGGTTAGTAATCTTAACTTTTTATCAGAAATTTGATCAATTTGAGCTAGATCGCTGAACTACCTACATCCGTTTTTAATTCTTAAATCACCAATCCAAAGTTAAAGATTTGAATGGGCAATTTAGGATTTGAACTGGCTGTAGGACGTAGGTAGTTCAACGATCTTTCCAATTCAAATTAACTAACCCTTCTGGGATTGCCCAATAGTATTCCATGTTTTATATTTGAATTGTTTGATTCTTTTGATTCATTCGATTCATTCAATTCATTCGATCCATTCGATCAATTCGATTCGATCCATTCGATCAATTCGATTGGATCCATTCAATCCATTCGATCAATTCGATTGGATCCATTCAATCCATTCGATTCATTCAATCCATTCAATTCATTCAATTCATTCAATTCATTCAATTCATTCAATTCATTCAATTCATTCATTCGATTCATTCGATTCATTCGATTCATTCGATTCATTCGATTCATTCGATTCATTCGATTCATTCGATTCATTCGATTCATTCGATCCATTCGATCCATTCGATTCATTCGGTTCTTTCAGTTCATTCGATTTATTCGATTCATTCAATTCATTCAATTTAGTACTGGACTATGGGAGCAGAGTACTCGACGAAACCGGAAACGGAAGTTGGATCAGACGGACACTGACCGTCGCAGAAAGCCGGTCACAGTGTCAGGACCGTATATTGTTTACATGCTTCAGGTGAGCACCGGGCATATAGGGGAAATCAATTTTTTGTCAAACATTCTTCGAACCAACCGCATCATAGTTTTGACAATGCTTTGACATTTATAGGACTTAGATGACATGTCTGATAAATCAATCTCAATTTATCAATAACTTTTATTCTATTTATTAATCTATATTAGGGTGCACAGGTTCTATGGGTCGTTTGACGGCAAAACCTTGATTCAAATTTGAAGAGAATGCATGAAAAATTTTAGACTTTTATCTCAATATTAAAAACAAGGGTTGCCTGTACAAAATTTTGTGTCACCCTAATCAATCTTGACTATTTTAACTAGCTATTTATCAATCCTTTCTGCTATATATTTATCAATCCTTCCTGCTATATATTTATCAATCCTTCCTGCAGGAGGCTGATATTCTGGAGGACTGGACTCAGATCAAAAAATCTCTGGTTAATCTCAAAGCTTCCGAGAAATGATCTTGGTTTCAAATCTTGAATTTAATCCAGATTTTGACTACCGGCATTCCGGGCGCCAATTAGGGATTAAAAACTCATGAACTTTCATTTTGATGCATGTTTTGATATTTTCATATTTTTATGCTAGATTTTCAACTTTTATTTACTTCCTGTAATTAATATATTACAAAAACGGATAATGATATGTCCTGACTCATTCGTTTTGTTTCTGAAAGAATACCTAGATACCTGAAATTCTTTCCTGCCCGTTACAAGAAAAGAAAGTGTAATTTCAAGTGACCCTCCATACTCCATGCAAAGATGGCAGTGTCCTATTTACAATAATAGCCTTGAAACCTTCATCTGATTAGAAATGTGGAAGATGCCGTCGTTTCCTTGACAAGTGTTTAATTCTGATAATTTTTCCATTGTACGTAATAAGGAAGGCTTATGTCACTTTAGCAGCGAACCCGCTTTAAAGTTTTCCGTTGCCATCTTGACATGGAGGGTCACTGAGAGTAACACTAACCATCCCATTAAGTATCAACACTAGTATTGCTTTAGCTTGATTGTTTTGTACCCTTCCCCCTTTGATACAGCCATAAATGCCTCCTCATCTATTTAAAACAACGGTTTTTTTATTGAAAAGTTTTTTTCCAAAAATATAGCTTAACTTTCAAATATTAAATTTCTTGTTCTTTTGTACACAGTTGTGATGTTAAATAAACTAAAAATACTGAAAAGGAAAACAATTTCTGCAAACAACAAATTTATTGTTTTGAAAATAAGAACATATGTATTTTTTACACTTTGCCTCAATATGTCATTTCATCTTTGACTAATTTCAGAATTTTTACAATGGAGGGGAAAAATGATGGGACGTCGACTTCGAGTCAAGACGAGTGGATTGAAGGCCGGGAGGTTGCAACTGTGAATATTGAAGACAGGGAGGTTGCAACTGACATTGAGAATATCGAGGACCGGGAGGTGGCAACAAATGACAACGAACCCATCCTTCCTGTATCTGAGCATAGAACTGTCGTTATCAGATGTAATTCCGTACTAACATGGGTAATCAAACCTCTGGTTGGGCTAGGATTTACTATAGGTAGAATTATTTACAACTAAATCTTACCATTAACCTGAAAATCTATAAATTTTCCACCTAAAATTCATTTTAAAAATTTTAAATACACATCTGAAAAACGGCGCTGCTCCTATATTGAGGACTTGACAGAACTTGAGAATCAGTTTACCATTCTGCGGGAACAGTTATACAGGTATTGCAGTCTTATGTTTGTACCGTCCGACGTTTTTGGGTCCAAAGTTTGTATTAGTACCGAATTTTCTGGATTCAAACTAACTATTCAATTAATCTGAAGACTAATAAAAAGCTGAGATCAAGGTTTGATCTCAATATCCACAATTTTAACGTTTTCAGCACAAGACATGTTTCTCTCCTAGCTTAATATAGTTTTTTGAATTAAAAAAATTCTAAAATTGTATTTTTAGCGATGACGGGGATAATGAGAATGAGAGTGGAAGTGAGAATGAGGAAGAAGAGGTAAAAAATATATTTTTCTCTAAAGGACTGTTGGAGAAAATGGGGTAATGTAGGTGGTACTAAATGTTGAAATATTATTTTATGGATAATAATATTGAAAAGGGTTATAGTTCTTAAAGATTTACAGATGAGCATACGAACATAGAGCAATTTTATTTTAACCTTTCAATTTCCCGGATTTTTAGGTACCATTGTTCGTTAATTATGTTAAAATTGTTGTTATTGATGACCTTACAAAAAGATTGCAAAAAATATTTTTCTAGAAAAAATTTTCTGTACAATTTATAATCTACCTCACATTGATAGGTCCACAAAATTCCAAAAGTTTTTAAAATTACAATCATTGATACCTGATTCATACCTTATCAGACAAAGCTGGGTACCGTTGTGAATCGGTCATTGCATCTTTGCATGAAAGGTCACTTGAAATTACGCTTACAGTCCCTTTAAGTTATTTCTATTTCAATTATTATTAAATACCCCCGTGTAAGGAACTGTCCGAGGATCTCCTGTGCAATATCTGCTTTAAAACGGTCTCCAGGACAGAATTGATGGAATGCCTAAACCCAAAATGTCGGACCACAAGTCACATGATCTGTCTCAGGAAATTATTTCATGATTTCTGAATATTAATACAAGTAATAGATTTATGATGTCTAAGTTTTAATTTAGGAAATTATTTTAAGATTTCTTAATTCAAATTTTATTGAAATTGTGACGAAAATAAGTAAATAATTATTTAAAACTTAATTTTTTTAAATTTCTTTCTGAATGAAATAAAAATGAATTTGTCATTCCATAGAAAAAGTTTGATCATGAGGAAATTTATAGTCAAAGCTTTCTGGGGTCTGAAGATCGACTTCTCCCAATTCAGGAAAAAAAATAACAATTATTAATTTTTTTTTATTTTTGGACATTAAAGAGAATTTAAGAATAGTTTCAAATGACCCTCCATGCAAAAATTGGAATGGCTGACTCACAACGTTATCTTTGAAACCTTTATCTGATATATATTGAAAAATGTAAAAGATATTGTCGTTTTTCTAGGTTTAAAAGTATTTAATTCTGATAATTCCTATGTTTTCCTTCAGTAGAAATGCGGAAGTCACTTATGTATAGAAACCACAGTTGAAAATAATCAGTTTTTAGAATTTTAACCATTGATATCTAATTCATACTTGATCAGACTATGCTTTTGTATGGAGGGTCACATGAAATTACACTTACAGTCCCTTAAATTACACTTACAGTCCCTTAAATTACACTTACAGTCCCTTAAATTACACTTACAGTCCCTTCAAGCATTTTTAACTCTTACATTAGAATCAAAATTGAAGTGGCGACTAGTTACGATTTTACAGTGAACCCCTAGAAAACATTTGCAGTAAATCTTTTAAGAATTTTAACTTGTTATGTACAGGGAAAGTGCAGTACATGTGACTGCGTACTGCTGTGGGGAGACCTTGTACGTAAGAAGAAAGGTTGTTACGAGGAAGGGGAAAGATTTTTAAAGAAAATACAGGGTGTCCCACAAAAGACTTTGTAGTAGGTGTTAATTTACTTCCTGTAAGAAATGTTTTAGAAAAGTAAACGAATAATCATATGTCCTGACTGTTTTTTTATGAAAGTATGAAAGAATGTTTAGAATATTTAACCTAGCGACCTTCAATTCTCTCCTACCCCTTAAAGGGACAGTAAGCGTAATTTCAAGTGTCCCTCCATACTCCCATGTAAAGATGACAATGCCCAATTTACAACGGTACCCTTGAAACCTTTATCTGATCAAAAATGTGGAAGATAACGTCGTGTTTCTGATTCGAAAATTTTTATTCAATTTTCACAATCAAGTTGTAATTGGAGAGCTCTTAATTTCAGTTATTTCTTGGTAAATTTTTTCTTTCTAGGTCTCATTTTTTTGTTACAACCACTGGTTTTGAGTTTAAGTCAAAAATCTCTAAATCTTAGCGCAAGTTGAAATATTTTTGTCCAAATGGGTTGGATCAAATATTTTTGACAAAAAAAACGAGTTGTGGAATGTACCGATTGATTTTAAAAAATATATTTTTAGATAACTTTTGTACACTGGGCAAAGTTCTAGCAGAAACTGTAGCTTTCTTTTATTTATTTTATTAATGCTAATTTTATTTTTAAATTGCTCGAGCCAAAAAAATAAACACTGATCCAAAATTTTACTATACACAAAACCTCAGGCCAGACAAAAAAAATACGAAAATCTGCCGGTTTTTTTTATAATTTATGAACAAATGAAAATCAAATGTGAACAAACTAAAATTGGACAAATCCGGGAAATTGATTATCGAATTATACTCAGCGAAGTGATTGTAACATAAAAGGTATAAGGCCTAGGAAGAAATACACCTTGAAATAGCTGAAATATAAAGCTTTCCTAGTTTTCAATGACACCTTGATTGTAAAAATTAATACCCGTTTTACAAAGTTTTTTGGGACACCCTGCATTGTATACTACCTGAGCCTTTTAAGCTCTTATACCCCTCCATTCTTTGTTTGGGTCCCTCCAACGTCAGTAGAGATACGCAGATTTGATTCGATTACGTTCTTGTTGCAGGGTTCGGAGTAGCTCTGCCTGATGTTAGGGAGCTGGCCCCTTGGTTCCTCCTCGGCCTGGTTCTAGGGGTTTATCTCCTTCTCTCCACCCTTCTCAACTTTCTGATCAGATATACAGCTGGAGGAATATCTTGGAGAATAATGAAAACTAATTATATTTTCCAGCTTCCGTCTCCTTTTGTACTCTGTTTTATACTGGATACTATCACCAGTGGGTCTCTTCTTATCACTGCTTGCGTTATCCAACCCTTCTGTTGGACCTTCGGGCATGTTGTTGGAATAATCGTGGCCATTCTCCACTTCGTCATAGCTGTTGGGTTGCTGGTTGTGAGGAGAAAGAGTGCTGCTTGTATGACTATGAATAGAGATGTTCAATACTCACCAAATTTATACCAAGCCATCCCAATCTTAAAGGTAAGGGTTTGTATTAAATAAGCAAAAAGTAGTAGAACTATGTCCCGCCAGTGCAGTTCCAACAGTTCTCCTGTGCTGTCAAGCTGAAGAGAAGTGGTTTGATTAAAGTTACTCAGTTCAACTAATCATATTTATTAAATCTGGTCTTTCCTGGAGTAAAGTTTGTTTTCTTCGTTTTTCTTAATATCACTTTTGAAAACATTTACCCTTTTGTGTAGGAGTTCTTAAACCGGTTATTCTCCGCTGCCAGCACCCAAGAGACCCCTTCGTACATTTCCACCGCGGTGAAGGAGCTGACCCTCATCTGGAAAGGGTTAAACGACGCGGAGACGATTGTCTCTGTCCTGAAGGGTAGAAGGATTGGGAACTGTATCCTACTCCTCCTTGTGTTCGGTCTCTGTGTGGTGAGCTGTGTAACTGAGTTCTGTTTTATCAAGGATTGGGATTCTTGGAGCAGTCACCCTAACCATGCACACTTTAGGTAAGTACGGGGTGGGAATCACCCTAACCATGCACACTTTAGGTAAGTACGGGGTGGGAATCACCCTAACCATGCACACTTTAGGTAAGTACGGGGTGGGAATTTCAGCTTAGGGGAACTAGGGGTGTATAATTAAGTGAAAAATCTTCTTTTTTTTGAGTCCGAATTTAATGAATTTGAGCCGGGTCTGAAATCCGCCAAAAACCGGTTTTTAATTGAGCGCCAGCTTAAATCTTGATTAAGTGGAAATAACCATATTTGAGCGGCTCAAATTCTTTAAATCTGGCCTCAGACCGTTTTTTTCTCTGAATTTTTCTATGCAATCTCAAGTTAGACCTTTTGTGTAGTGTATGTCGGGATCAATCATTAATCTCTAGCTTGTACAGATCTACAGATTGCTTTAAATCCTCTTTCATATCACGTGATGGACCCTACAGGGATAACTTTAATTGAGGGTTGAAGTAATATTCCTTAAATTTTAAAGTGCCCACATTGGATATCGCGATCAATATCCACAAAAATCATGAATTCTGTTAGATCCAAAAGTCTTAAATTTGAATTACCAAAAGTTAATTCCTTTTGGATTAGCAAATTTGAGTAAGTGGCGAGTGTTCATTACTCTCCATTCAAAAATTATAATTTGAAGAATTTAAATGACAATCTGACCTAAATTATCAGATATTTATTCCATGTGGGAAAATGTGTATTTAAAAACTGATCTTTATACAATTTATTTTTGTCCTAAAATCTTTAAAACTGCTTTGATCAGGGGAAGAATAACTGAAATAAAGAAAGGGGTACATTTCTTAGATAGATCCTTTAATTTAAAGGGATCAAGCAATCGGGACTATGAGTATTGAGAATTCAACAAAGTTCCCAGCTCCCAGGGAGACTGAATTAATTAAGGATTTTTAATACTTTTTAGAATCTACGGTCCATTTGAGGGTGTAGAGACAAGCCTGCGCTACTGGGCCGGTATATCGACTGTATCTTGTATCCCAGTCCTAGTCCTTCTCCTGGCAGGATCATTCCGTCCTTCCGTCTTGGTAAACCTGGTGACCTCCTTGATCTCCCTCGGGGTCGGTGTATACTTTGCTCTCCTCTCCTCCTACTCCACCATGTCTCTGATCCTGCTCCAGGAAAACCGCTTTCCAACATCAGCTTCTCTAGTTTTCAGGTTTATTTTTATCTTATCTCAAAAATCAGGTGAAATACTTTGATAAGACGGTTTGTCTCCTTCATGAGAAGATGTGCGAAAATACGACCTTTATGAATATATTTGCGTCATTTCCAATATTTTTTTTAGATTCATGCATCTTCTCCCGATTCCGTTCATTGCCATTCTTCTAATCTCATTCGGAATATCAACCCTCCTAGTTCATCTCAAGCTGGATACCTCTACAATATGTTTTCAGGTTATAAAGGTAGGATATGTTGGCTTTAAGGGACTGTTTTCAGGTTATAAAGGTAGGATATGTTGGCTTAAAGAGACTGTTTTCAGGTTGGATATGTTGGCTTAAAGAGACTGTTTTCAGGTTATAAAGGTAGGATATGTTGGCTTAAAGAGACTGTTTTCAGGTTTTAAAGGTAGGATATGTTGACTGAAAGGGACTGTTTTCAGGTTTTAAAGGTAGGATATGTTGACTTAAAGGGACTGTTTTCAGGTTGTAAAGGAAGGAAATGTTGGTTTAAAGGGACTGTAAGCATAATTTCAAGTGACCCTGCATATGAAAAGATTGCAATGCCCGATTCTTTGAATGGAAGGTCACTTTGAACGACGACGACAATCCCTTTAATATTATTTATATTTTTGCACTGTACAGGATGCCTCTAAATGTAAACAGTTAGTTAATGGCAGAGCCTCAATTCTAAACCTGTTTTTGTTTTTGTGATACAATGTTTAATCTGATAATGACAGTGAGTTTATTTTTAAATGTTCGAAAAAAATAAAATTGGTTTCAGTTTGCCATCAACTACGGAGTTTTTTTCAAAACACCCTGTTTGCTTTGATATTAAGATATTTCTAATAAACCCTGTATTGAAGGTTGTGAGCAGTATTCCTCTGTTAGTTTTATGTCCCATCCTTCTAACCTACTCCATCTTCTACTCCATGCAGGAGCTGTCCAAGCATTGGTCAACCCCAGAGTCAGAGAACTACTGGTCCGAGCAGAACCCGGTTCAAGGTAACTTGAAAGGGACTGTAGACGTTATTTCAAGTGATCCTCCATTTGTGGAGGGACATGCCTAATTCATGAAGATACCATTTAAATCTTTAACTAGATAACAAAAAAGAGAGTATCTACGTTTTTCTTTCTTCAAAAAAGAGATATTCTGTCAATTTATATTTTTGTCGCTGCTACTTAAACCCCATGTCGCTAAAGTATCGAAACTGCAATGAAAAATTATCTTTGAACTAAGATATCTCTCAATTTTTTTTGCTCAGAATAAGAGTTTAATGGTAGCGTCGAAGAATAATTTAAGAAGGGGATGGAAATGATTTTTAAGCAAATGTTAAAGAAATTCTCTCTTGAATTAATTGCTTTTATTTTAGGTAATCTAGACTGGGAGATACTAAATACATTCACCCTGTACATGTCCTCGGAGGTTGCCCTGACCTCCTCCCTCCTCATCCTCCACCTAACAACCCTGGCCTCCGGCAGAAGCAAGATCCCCGGACCTATCTCCTGTGTCATATATCTAATCGTCCTCTCTTCTTCATCCTACGCGGCATTTGCACTCTACGGTCAGGACACCACCACTATGGAATTAATGTCCTGGGGCCCGGTCAAATATGCCCACACCGGTCTGATTGTGACCGGGCTAGGGATTGGATTGGTTGGGTTTGGCAGGAACTGTATATCCATGTTGGTCACTTTAGTCTGGTTAATCGGGTTTCCGGTTCTCTGCCTCGTGTTTGCAGTCGTCTTCGTTTTCAATACAGTCAAGGTGTGTGTGCAACAGGAACAGCTGTATAGAGGTGAATCGGAGGAGCAGATGTATAGAGGAGAACAGGAGGAGCAGATGTATAGAGGAGAACAGGAGGAGCAAGTAGAACAGGAGAAGCTGATAAAGGGAGAGCAGTTGAATCAGGATATTCAAGTTTAAACAGGAACAAGAAATTTTAGCGAAGGGATTAAAAGTTGGATATCAAAAGACAACTTTTTTCATTAAATTTGATACTGTTTTACCAAAAATTCATTAATATTCTCCTAAAGCTGGATATAAAGTTCAGCTGCTGAATTCCTGAACTTAGCTGGATATCTAGTTCAGCAGCTGAATTTCAGAACTTAGCTGGATATCAAGTTCAGCAGCTGAATTCCTGAACTTGGCAGGATATCAATTTCAGCAGCTGAATTCCTATACTTTGTAGGATATCCAATACAAAAATTGCCAACTCTATAATTGGAGTACGTTTCGAGTTTTCGCGTTCAATTTCTTTATGGATTTTTATCATTGGATATCTGGATATCAGATAGTAAAAACAATTAAAAAATACTTTTGTGTTGTGAATCATGAGACCAATCATTTCATCCTTATCTTATGCCGTTCTAAAGAGTCAGGGGTGTCTATTTTTAAGAAATACCCCCCCCCCATATGATTTTTCAAGATTTGGGGAAAAAATGAAAAATTTGGCAAAAAAGGCAAGTTTTATCGTCATTTTTCATACTTCAACTCAAACATTTATTTATTTTCCTAATTCAGCGAATTAATCCCTAAGAAAACTCAACTCCTGGGGGGAAAAACACTTTCAAAAGAGGGGACATAATGAATTTTCAGGAATATATAGACCCCCGAACCCATTCCTGGGATACATAAGAAAGAACCAAATACATTACTTACATTACTTAAATTTTGATTTAGTCACAATGGATTAAAGCACAATTCACGCAAAAATGTTTAACTCTTGTATTAAATCCTATGTGATAAGGTTCACCCCATAAATTTAAATTAAAACATTGCCTTTTTCATTTTTGTTGTGAATGTTTGGGTTGTAGACCTTGTGTGATATTTGTATTATATATTTTTATTATATTATTATTAGTTGAGTTGTAACTATCAGTAAATTTTGTTATACAATTTTTTATTTATTTTTATTTTTTCAAATTGTTAACACCCATGAAGTACAACCTTTTGAATTGAATGCTTAAAGAGACTTCAGACGTATTTTTAGAATATTCAATGCAAAGTTAAAAGTTCGTCAGTCCCTTTAAAATTATTTTAGTTGTCAACCCTTGAATAAAAAAGCGCCATTCACTACAAACAACGTTATTCCAAGGATTACTGTACTGTAAGCGTAAATACATGTGACCCTCCATGCAAATAGTTACAACGGTCCCAATTAAACCTTTGACTGTTCGAGTACATAGAGCTCCGTGTGTAAATCTCTGGAATAGCGGTTGAATCGCGGTAAATCAGTTGATCGATAATATCGAATATTTAACGTTTAAAGCGGTTTTCAAAAATTCGGAATTAAATTTTTATTTTCTGTCGCTTCTAGTAAGGAACTATTGACATTTCATGATTATAAAACAGTTTTGCAACATAGTCCTAAACAATTAGACCGTTTCAGTAGATTAATAAGGATATGTCCGACATCTTTGATCAGTCAAAGGTGAGCTGTTGTGAATCGGACTCTCCATGGAGGGTCACTTATAACAACGCCTGAAGCCCCTTAGAGTACAGAGATATTTGTTGTCGTCTATCCTTAACTTTATCGTTTAACTTAAACTGAAAAGTTACCTGAGTTAACGTTGAAATCGCTTTTTATCGCGGGAATTTGCTTTAATTGTATTAAATAAAAAGTATTTTATGTGATTTATAAATGACCACACTGGTGAAATTTCCTGGAACCGAATTAAATGACTTTGAATTGCCAACCGCCTCCGGTTCAAATTTGAATCACCAATTTTAATCCTTCCTTAATCTTTAACTTTGAATCGGTAGGTAGTACAGCGACGTAGCTCAAATTCATAAAATTCGGGCGCTGGGTTGAATAAGTTTTTAAATATTTATCTAAACGTATTTTTAGATTCAAAATGTCAGCTGTGGCCGCCATAGTTCCAGGTAAACTTTCGGATTTTACGATTTCGAACAATTTTTCAGAAATTTATTTATATTTTTTTTTGGAATTTATTTGATCCTGTTTACTATCTATTTATTTACTTTTTTTAAGACATCCTATTCTGAGCGACATTATTTTTTATTGGAAAAGTCTTAAAAACACATCCCTAGTGAACTAGTGCAGTTGATATATCTCTTCTAAATGATTACAGAATAGGATTAATAAAATAGATCTATTACAGATGTTATTGTGCAGTCGATATATCACCTCTAAAGAATGAATATTACAGGGGGTAGTGCTGTTGATATATCACCTCTAAAGGATGGAGGTGTATTAAAGGAGATTACTACCCCTGGATCAGGAGACGAGTTACCTCTCACAGGAGACAAGGTGAAATATTTTATTATTTTTTAGAGTTAGTTTTTAGTACATGTTTTTTACTCAGATAATTACCATTTTAGGTTGTCATGTGGTTAGAATATACCATTATTTTAACATTGACTGAGTTTTTTTTAAAATATTGTCTATTTTTTAAAAATTTTGTTGCGATTTCTTTGAATACTTACATAGCCAATACTCTAATTTTTTAGACTATTGTTGTTGTTCGAATGTTGTCAATTTTAGATTTAGTATTTGTTTTAATAATAATGTCCATATGATTGTCAACTTAATACTTCATTATAATATTTCTATGTCTAGGTACTTTGTCTAACTATTACCTCTACAATGATCGGCGTATATATCATACAATAAAGACGACTTTTTTATTTAACAAGCTTTTACCAATTACAAGTTTACAAGTAGACAAAGCTGTTAACTGTAGTACAGCGTCTCTTTGTTAACACGTTTATGTATATTTTTCGTCTTCATTGTATTAATATATACGACGACGACTTTATGTCCAGGTGTATGTCCACTATGTCGGGAAGCTAACCGATGGTTCTCAGTTTGACTCCAGTCGGGATCGAGGAGAGAAGTAAGTGTCCAGTAGTTGAACTATCAGGGGTGTATATTTTTCAGAAATAACCCCTGGGGAGAATAATTTTTGATGATTTGGGGGTTATAAAGTGAAAAATTGGATAGCAATAGGCAACTTTTTCATACTTTTTCCCCAACAGTTAATTGATTTTCCCCTAAAAATCTTCTATTTTCCCAAATTCAGGGAACAAAATCCATAAAAAAAATATCCGCGCATGCATATACAACTTCCGGCAGGGTGAAATGATTTTCTAAAGGGGGTTGGGGAAGAAAAATCATTTTTCGAGAAAATAAACACCCCTGAGAATAGTTTAACTACTTTTTTAGTTGGGTTTAGACTTTAGAGTTCCTAAAACTACCTATCTACTAGTTGGGCCTAGAGAGCCTGGATGAGAAGTCCAACTATCCATACCTATTGATCAACTTCTTTTTGTTGATTTAAATTCGGTGATGGTGATGGACCAAACCTCTGTAGAGTAAAAAAAAAGTAGATGTTAGTTCCACATTTTATTGAAAATATATTTCAATTTTTATAGATGGCACATATTTTAAAGAGTTTTTCCTTTAAAAAAGTTAGTGTGTCTTAAAATGATCTAACTTTTTAACTGAACCTTTTCGCCGATCTTAATATTGCACCGTTAGATAATCTTCTATTATGATGAAAATTAGCAAATTGAAAAGGTATGGAAAGAAAACAAAATAATAAAAAAAATAAGTTACGTTTGTAAAAGCAAACCTCTTGGATCATTTTGAAATTTCAATTCAAACTTGCAAATATATCTAAGGAAGAGTTTTTTCGGTGCCGGTCAATATTTTTTAAAGTTGCTTTTTACAAGAGGAATATTCATAATAATTATAATTAATTATAATTTTTTCCCCATTTGTGAAAAAACTATAATTTTCCCCATTCTAGATAGAATTATAATTTTTTCCCCTTTTAGATTCTCCTTCTCCCTTGGTAAGGGTGAGGTGATCAAGGGTTGGGATATAGGAGTAGCAACCATGAAGGTCGGAGAGAGAGCTGTTTTCTTCATCAAGTCCGAGTATGGATACGGGCCGACCGGAAGCCCCCCCAAAATACCAGGAGGTAGTATACATCCTGATCCTCATCCTCATCCTCATCCTCAACCTCATCCTCATCCTCATCCTAAACCTGATCCTGATCCTCATCCTCATCTTCATTCTCATCCTCATCCTCATCATCATCCTCATCTTAAACCTGATCCTCATCCTCATCCTCATTCTTATCCTCATCCTCATCCTAAACCTGATCCTCATCCTCATCCTCATCCTCATCCTCATCCTCATCCTCATCCTCATCCTTATCCTTATCCTTATCCTTATCCTTATCCTCATCCTCATCCTCATCCTCATCCTCATCCTCATCTTGATTGTCATCTTGATCCTGATCCTCATCCGCATCCTCATCTTGATCCTCATCCTCATCTTGATCCTCATCCTCATCTTGATCCTGATCCTCATCCTCATCTTGATCTTGATCCTCATCCTCATCTTGATCTTCATCTTGATCCTCATCTTGATTATATTCCTGTATTAAAACTCTAGATTTTTACAGAATGAAGGTTGTTAATTTATTATTTTAAATATGTTCAGGTGCTACTCTAGTTTTTGATGTTGAATTGTTCAGTTTTGAAGGGGAGGATATCACTAAGGACAAGGTATATTTTCATTCATCTTTTTTCATTCAATTATTCATTCTTTCACTTATTCAATATTCTTTCACTCACTCTTTCATTCTTTCATTTATCCTTTTAATTGTCCTTTCATTTATCCTCTTATTGTCCTTTCATTTATCCTCTTATTGTCCTTTCATTTATCCTCTTATTGTCCTTTCATTTATCCTCTTATTGTCCTTTCATTTCACATTAATTTATTCTCTCATCCATTTATTCTCACATCCAGTCATCCAAAAATATATTAATATATATATTTATAATCATTCATTTTTCTATCGAAATAATGAAGCTCTTCGCTCATAAATAATATATAATATATATATGTTAGTTTTAGCTGGCCTAACGGCTGGACCGAATGGGCTGAAATTTTTTTTATGAACCCATGGGTGCCCGGGGAGTAACAAAGGCAAAAAAATAGAAAAAAAGTTACTTGAAATTGTTTTTCTTCAAAAAACCGGCATTTTATTTTTATAAATATAAATATGATCACCTCTCATGATAGTATATCATATTATTTTATTTTTTCTAAATTAATAGGTTATTTATGATTTTTTCGTATTATTATTTGATGAACCTTTTTTATGAATCTTGCCATCAATTAATAATAAATACTGTACTAAATATTTATACCTGTAAATCTACAGTCTACACATGTATCTTCTATATTCTATCTTAATGATAGATAGATACTATCTATTCACCTTTCTATTTATTTAGGATGGAGGAGTAGTTAAAAGAATCCTGGTAGCTGGAGACGGTTATGATACGCCCAACGATGGAGCATTGGTAAAAAAAATATTTAAATCTATTTTGTTAGTTCTTAAAACTTTTGAGGAAAATGGTCTTTGTATTGTTCAAATTTTTGTCGGGACAAAACCATTGAAAATGTCACAAATAATTTCTTTTAATTGTTAGATCATTAACTACCTACCATTAGTTAATAGTTACATACAAACTAATGTTTAGAAACTATCTGACAAAAACTATCAAAAGCACATTGCAAATAGCAATTTAAATACAAATACCTTTATCACACAGCTGTAAGTTCATATCTCTTTTCTGAATTTGTAAGTTTATCTTGGGCATTATATGTGGCCAGTAGGAAGTTCCTAACACCCGTTAACACTAATTAATTCATTCATTCATTTATTGATTGTTAGATCATTTCACTTTATCAGGTTGATATCATGGTGACCGGTCAAACTGTATCGGGCAAGGTATTTGACACCCGTTGCCTGGAGTTTGAGATTGGAGAGGGTCCAGACCATAATCTACCCAGGGGGGTGGAGCTAGCCCTGGAGAAGATGAAGAAGGGGGAGGAGGCAGAGATCACCATTAAACCTGAGTACGGGTTCGGGATTCAGAGATTCAACCACCAGACTTTTACAGGTTGGATCTGAGTATTTGGGGGTATTTTGATTGATTGATTGATTGATTAATTGTTTGATTGATTGATTGATTGATTTATTTGCAGAACTATCTGGTGAAACTGAGTTGAAATATAAGATTAAACTGACCAAGTTTGAAAGATCCAAGGAGTCCTGGCAATTAGACGCAGACCAGAAAGTCGAACAGGTAATTTATTGATGAATAATTAATATTGAATATCCTCTAATTTGGTATCACAACTTGTTAAATTGCATACCCCCCCCCCCCTTTTTTTTTGGGGGGGGGGTGGATTTTGAAATCACGTTTTCGGTTAAAAAATATTTTTTCCAAATTTGGGTTCTCAAAATTTTATTTTTTAAGTTTAACCCCGAATGCATGTAGAACGGAAAATTTTATTTTAAAATCGAAGACTAGGTATTTGAGATTTGGGGTCCAACGTGATTTGAGTAATTTTGGGGGGCCAAGTTTTGCAACAACAAAAAAATGAAATTTTAGTTTGCAAAATTTTGCGAAAATTTGATGAGATTTCAAACTCTATCAAAGTTTTTGATGTAGTTATAAAATAAAAAATTGTAGTCCATATTCAGTAACACAATATAAGACTATTGTAGTACACTATTGGTTGATTGATTGATTGATCAGGCGAAGATGTTCAAGGAGAAAGGAACAAAGTATTATAAAGCTGAGAAGTATGAGATGGCTGCCTCGAGATATAACAAGGTGAGACAGGTTCTAATCAAGGGACTGTAAGCGTTATTTCAAGTGACCCTCTATGCAAAGATGACAATTCTTGAATTGTCCCTAAATGGCACCCTTAAATGCTGTTTCCGATCAAGCATTAAATATAGATAAATGTTTATTGATTTGAAAACTGATAATTTTCAATTGCGGGTTTTTACTGCTGAAAACTGTAAAGGAATTATCAGAATTAAACCCTTTATACCAAATATAACGACAATGTCTTCCACATTTTGATCAGATGAAGGGCTTAAGGGTATCAGGCAAAACTACACTTGAAATTACACTTACAGTCCCTTTAAATATGGATATGGATGAAGATATGATAATGGATATGATAATGTATATAATAATGTGTATGATAATGGATATGATAATGGATATGATAATGGATATGATAATGGATATGAAAATGGATATGATAATGGATATGATAATGGATATGATAATGGACATGATAATTTATATGATAATGGATATGATAATGGATATGATAGTGGATATGATAATGGATATGATAATGGATATGATAGTGGATATGATAATGTATATGATAATGTATATGATAATGTATATGATAATTTATATGATAATGTATATGATAATGTATATGATAATGTAAATGATAATGTATATGATAATATATGTATATGATAATGTATATGATAATGTTTATATACATTTTTGATCCAGGTAATAGACTTCCTGGAGCATGAGATCTCCTTGAAGGATGAGGCTGAGGTTGAAAGGAAGAGCCTCCTCGAGGCGGGCAGGATGAATCTTGCTCTCTGTAAGATGAAACTCCAGGACTGGATCGAGGCCAGGAATCTCTGCACTAAGGTTAGTTTAGTCTAGGAACCTCTTACGCCAATTTTGATTAATTAAGTCTGATTTGATTTGATTTGATTTGATTTGATTTGATTTGATTTGATTTGATTTGATTTGATTTGATTTGATTTGATTTGATTTGATTTGATTAAGGCAAGGAAAGGAAAGGATTTTACTTTTGTTTATTGTCAGGTTCTGTTATGTGAGCAGAAGATCAAAACTCACAGACAGAAAGAGAAGAAGACGTTTGCCAACATGTTTGACAAGTTTGCCGCAATTGATCAGAAGAGGTCAGTTATCCATCATATATTGCATTTATGGATCAATCAATTAGTTCTGGATGAATGGATCGTTATGAATCCAATTCCATTGAGCAGTAAAAAGTTCTTCGATCGTTTGATCCATCTATTAGTTATTAATCCATAAACTTAAAAAAATAGTTGAATTATTAAAAAAAAATAGTTGTATTTGTAAAAAATATTTCTGGGGGAAGGCTGGCTCCCCCTGGAGCTGTAATGCAGTGTGATAGCCCCCCATCTAGAGATTAAAAAGAATTTTTTTTGTGGGAAATAATAGGGGCAAATTAGACAACTCAAAGTTTTTACATTGTATACCAAGAGGTAAATAATTTTGAATCTATACACCATAGTTTTACATAAATATCCACACATATCCTTAGTTGTACATAGATATTCATACATATCTATAGTTGTACATAGATATCCAATCTGTTCTGCATAGCTGTAAATAGATATCCAAAGTTGTACATGATATCCATACATATCCATAGTTGTACATCCATACATATCCATAGTTGTACATCCATGTATATCCATAGTTGTACATCCATGCATATCCATAGTTGTACATCCATACATATCCATAGTTGTACATCCATGCATATCCATAGTTATACATAGATATCCAATCTATTCTGCATTTTTGTACATAGATATCCAATCTATTCTGCATAGTTTTACATAGATATCCATACATATCCATAGTTTTACATCCATGCTTATCCATAGTTTTACATAGATATCTATACATATCCATAGTTGTACATAGATATCCATACATATCCGTAGTTGTGCATCCATGCATATCCATAGTTGTACATATATATCTATACATATCCATAAGTTGTACATAGATATCCAATCTATTCTGGAAAGTTGTATATAGATATCCAATCTATTCTGCATAGCTGTACATAGATATCCAATCTATTCTGCATAGTTGTACATAGATATCCATACATATCCATATTATAAAAGGCCTATCAAAAAACTACAGTGCAAATTATAAATTTCTATTTTAATCCCAACTTTGCATAGTCATTTTGGGATTGGGATGTGGTTATATAGTCTGATTGATTGATTGATTGATTGATTGATTGATTGATTGATTGATTGATTGATTGATTGATTGATTGATTGTTAAGGGAGGAAACGGAAAAGATGAGGAAACCGGATACAATGAACAACATCGACGAATGGAATAGGTGAGATCTTTCATTATCATTATCATTATTACTATTATTTTCATTAACAATTTTCATGGTGTCCCATGTCATCTGGAATATGGAAAAATAAAACTAATTTGAAAATATTACATTTTAATTAAAAATAGAATAAAAAAATATTAGAAATAAAAATTGCGACGGCTCAAGAACTCAAAGACTTCAGTTTTTTTGATTAAAATTTAAAAATTTTATTATTTTCATAATAACATTTTCGTAAATAAAAAATTAAGAAATATTTTTATATTTTAGCGGAGCCAGAAACTCAGTCCCTGCTACAGACCCAAACTCAATTAAGGTTAGTTCATTAACCCAACAGTGACTTTTGGGCCAGTTTAGGCCGTAAAAGGTATTGTCATAATTTGTCAAACTTCGGCAATTTCAGGATATTAAAGTGAACTAACCAGTCACAAGGCAAAAATAATTTGTTAAAGAAACTGTAAGCGTAAAGAAAGTTACCCATTATGCAATGATGGCAATGCCCGATTTACAACGGTACCCTTTAAACCTTAATCTAATCCCAATTGTGAAAGATGTTGTCGTTATTTTGACTCAAATGTTTTTAATTCTGATCATTTCTCCTTTGCTTCTTAAAAGCAAGAAATGCGCAAGTCACCACACCATAACGAAAATAAGCAGTTTAAAGAAAAAAAACATGGACATCTCATTCATACTATATCAAACAAAGATTTTAATGGTACCGTTGTAAATCAAGCATCGCCATCCTTAAAAGAAATTCAATAAAATGTTCAAAATTTTTATTACTTTTGAATCAGTTTTTTCGCATCTTAGGAAAATGGGCTTGTGGCTAATGTTTTCAGTTTGTTCGTTACAACACGTTTAGTTTTTTGGGTCGGTTAGTGCAGACACCTTCTGCCAGGATCAAAAATTGGCATAGTGTAAGAAAATCACATTTTTTTATTATTGTTCAACCAAAACATTTGTATTTCTTACTCCAGAAGATGTATGCTCAAAATGACCCAAAAAACGATCCAATAACGAACATTTCTTTCTTAAAGAAAGATATTGCAAAGATTAACATATTACTGTTTTGAAATCTTAAAAGTTTTGTTAAATTTTTTCAAGTTATTTCAATCAATTAACAAGACTTCTTGTGATCTTTACAACTGACTTGAAATGACTTAATATCCGATTATAGACCGACTGATCATTGTTTCCAGGTTGTTGGTGATGTTGACATGAACCTTGATATTAACCAGGCTATCCAGGAGGACCAGGAGCACCAGCAGGTTCAGGTTTTATCATATATTCCGGGGGGGGGGGGTTAGTTCAACAAATTTCCCGTTTAAATTTTCAATTTACCAACTTAATATTAAATAAAACTTCCTGTCGTAAAATTTATGAATATTTAATCCATGGGAAGATTTCTTTAAATATATAAAGTAGTAATCTCTGTTCGTTTGTTTGATAGTTGGTATGGCCGATCATAAATCATGAACCCCATGACCGATTTTCCTCAAATTTAAATTGGGGGAACACGCGGAAAACTACGGAAAGGTTCATAGCTTAGTTTTGAGATTTTAAATGGAGTGGGTCCACTTGTATAGAGAAAAATTGCAATATACAACCAAGTGCGGGTAAACGGCTGGAGTAACTATGAGTATCCTGGGCAGTGCGGGTATCAAATCCCAGCTAGTATTATATACTATTCGAATTTTATTTAGGAGAACGGAGATGGTACTGCATAAGTAATAGATCTTAATACTGAAGAGGCGTGTGCCTTCACAGTAGGGTGTGTACTCTTAATGGGCGTGTTTCTAGTTTCTACACAATAGGGCGTATCCCTGCATTCTGCCTGACTACTCAAGTCATAGATCTCCTTACTCTAGTTTGTGTGTAAAATGTAAACTGTGATTTTTTTATTCATTTCAAATACATGTTCAACAAATTTGCTTTGCTTCATTTCTACGCAAGAATACATCAAATGGCATATTTGAAAGTGAACCTTTATTTTAAGATTCTCTTCCTTCTTCTGATCAGGGGTCACCTGATCTGAAAACTTTAGAATGGAATATCCTTTATCCTGATCGGTTAATTAATCTGGAGATTAATAACAAGAGGAGTAAAAGCATTATTTAATCTGGAGATTAAAAAAAAGAGGAGATCAAGCATTAATCTCGATATCCACCATTCTAAAGTTTTCAGCTCTGGACTCTTTCAATTACATCCAAACTTCAAATTTAGAATTGTAAAAGATGTTTGGCTGAAGAGTTGTAAATCTATTTAATTTTGCCCGAGGTAGAGTTTCTGCAATAATATAATCTGGTTGTTTGTTTCTAATAAACGCCAAGACGACTCTACTGAAATTTTGTGTGGGACCTTACATGACCCCAGGAAAGATTTATGAATGCCCAGAAGTTCAAAAATTTGTCTCACACTCAGTCCTTCCCTACTCTGGTCTAGCTTTTCCTACAGCTTTAGGATCCATTTTCTTATATCTTAAAGTACAATGATGGTTAAAAATATTTTCTTCATAAACTGAAAATTTTTAAAGATTTAGTACTTTAAAAATTCTGGGAGAAAATATTACAAATATGATTTTGTACTGCACCATGTGGTGATTTAAACTATGAATGCATACACCATACATCAGGTTGGTTTCTTTTGTTGAAGTATTGCTACAACTATAGTTAAATACTTGTTTCATTTGTTAAAGACATTAAGTAATTTGAAAATGTTAATACTAAATATAAAAATAACTGAAGCATAAAAAGTTAAAAAAAATATATATTTTTGCCTACTTTTCTACAGTTTCGCTTTTAGAAATAAGAAGCTTGTGTATTCGTTCCACAGGAATATTATTGCTGCAAATCCAGATCAAGTAGCTTAAAATAGCGCCTGCCATAGCCCCTGTGTCGGAATTTAATGATTTTAAGCCGCGTCTCAAATCCCCCAAAAACTGGTTTCAATTGAGCGCCGGCTAAAATATTAAAAAAATTAATACAATTTTAAGTGGAACCAACCATATTTGAGCCCCGGCTCATATTTAACCCGCGGCTCAAATTCTTTAAATTCGAAATTATCAAACTAATTTCCCAAAGTAAAAGAAATCTCAATCTATAAAGTTACTATTTTTACACTTACTCTGTTCAGATTTCGTGGCTTTTCATCGTAAAACAGTTTAAGAATTCAACATACAAAATATGGTTTGAGTTGTGCTTTTTTGCGTGACGCGGCTGGATTTTTTAAAATCACACTCTAAAGGCCCTAAATATACCATTTAAAAAAGTAGTTTTGCCCGGAAGAGTCAAATGTGGTGGTACGGAAGGGGAAATAGTGGTGGCTCATGGCTGCCGGAAGAGAAAAAAGCTAATATGTGGCACGGAAGGGGAAATAGTGGTGGCTCATGGCCGCCTGCCTTCCCCCGCTCGTCCAATAAATATGCCATTTGCTCTCAGTGGAGACATACGAATATAGCTCAGCATCTTAATATCAAGTTTAAAGTTTAAACTAAAGTGAATAAATTTTGCGGATTTTAAAAACTATTTCCCGCATTTTAAAGTATTTTACTTATGTCTTAATATGTATTCGCCTTCTCAGAAATAGGAACTTTTGTATGGAAATATACATATATATATATCGAGATATCTCGATATGCAAAGCGAGCACTTTTAAATTTGGGGATCAATTTTTATCGTTAAATCAAAGGTATCCGGCCATGCAAGGCATGACCACACTGAGATATAAATTGTGGTAACTTTTAAATTAGAGGATAAAAGTGATCAATAAGGTATTAAGTTAACTCGTAGATCTGCATAATATTGTGATCAATCCTTGATCCCAAGATTCTCAAAACAAGACTTTTGACTTTAGAGAACTTTTGCGTGAATACTTGATCTCGATATCCAATGTAGGCATTCTTAAATAAGATGTGAACTCTTTTTTGAAGTAAGTTTGACTTTTAAAATGAAACCTTGTAAAAAAATCGTATTATCATGTTTAACATATTTCATAGAGATATTTTTGACGACGTAACAATAACACAATAAAAAATATGCCTGCAGGATATGACCACTACGGAATTTCAAAGGGAAATCATGTTAATCAGTTTTAATACAGAGTGTCCCACGGAGCATGACAGTAGCAAGACGACTTATAGGTTGTCTTTGATTTTTGATGCAGCTATGGCTGCTTTTATTTAACAGTAAAATTCTAGAGATAGTAAACTCAATATACCCCTAGTTCTAGCATTTCTAAAATGTGGTCGTACAAGAAGGTTGACGACTGAATGTCACAAATAAATTCCAAGATCAAAGACGACTTTCAAGTCATCTTGCTACTGTCATGTTTCGTGGGACACCCTGAATGAAAAAACGACCTTGGAAACAAATTATGAGATAAGCTTGCATAGCATTAGAAGCGTATTACACGAAACTGGCTTTAAAATACGATTTAAAGGTATTTTTTTGTATATTTAAAATTTTTAACAAAAATAATGTTTTTTTAGGTGTACATTTGCTTTTTGATTATGACCAACGATACTGGGTGCATATTTTTTATCGCAAAATATTTTTTTAATCGTCAAAGGCAAGGTACTATAGCAAGGATAATTATTTCAGAGGTGTACGCATCTTTTGTACTGCAGTGTACTGTCTTTGGGCTGAAAAGTAAACACAAGACGGATGTCGAAGCCTTACATGGGATCCATCTTTCACAAAAATATTCTATGGAACATTTTGGTCATAGGAAACTATTATGTGAATTATCAAAATTATCAAAATGAAATGCTTTAAACAACCTCGGATACTAAACGAACACTGAGGCATCTATTCTTGTTTACAAAGTCCGCCCAGAAAGAACTGGTTTCAATATGTACGCAGAGTATACACAACTGCAATTAACTTCCCTTGCATTATAACCTTGGTCAAAGGGTTTAATTTTCAATTGTTCATCATCCACAACGGTAACCTAATAAGCTTTTAATTAGATCTAATGTTTTTAAAACTGATTGTGGTTTCTCTACAAAAGTGACTCGGGCATAATTCTACTACAGGAAAAATGACAGAAATTTTCAGAAGGAAACATAAATCTAGTAAAACGACCTATGCAGGCCCTCCATGAAATGACGTTTAGAGTCCGGCCAGGGGCGTACGAGAGCATTTGTGTAAGTCAGCGCGAAAAAAAATTTAATGTTGATACCTTTTTTAACTGTGTAAACTATTCGATCATATACACTCTTTTATATAATAAGTGTTAATAAATTACAAGTAATTTTCTGAAGTGGACTCGTCAGACACTTCCTCTGTGGTTTAAACTTCAATGGGGGAAAAATAGAGATGGAAACGTTTCTTAAAATATATCTATATTTTCATAGGAACAATACATATTGTATAATTATAAATAATGATATCAATGATATATTTACTCTGAAGGCAGTATTGATTAAAGCTTTTTTAATTAAACTTTTTCAGTTGAAGGCAAAAATGAGATTTTAAAGTATTTTTTTTGTATGGGTGCCCCCCCCCTGAGTTGGGGGGTGGGGCACTGACTAATCATTCAGGGTCCAGTTTCACCAATGGTGGTTGTTGATGTACTTGTTGTCGTTGTTGTTGTTGATGCTATTGTTGTTGTTGTTGTTGTTGTTGTTGTTGTGGTTGGTGTCATAAATCTATTAAGGTCAACAGCCTCCCAGCTTGAACTATTGATACGATTAGAATGCTCTTCGTCCTAAACAATTGGCAAAAAAATAAAAATACGTAAAAGATACAGGGTGTCTCAAAATACAAGGGAATTCAGTGGCGTGATATCGTCTTTGTAAATGATTTATTGATTTAGTATGGTGATGCCTACTAGGAAAGCTGCATAGATATTTCAACTTCCTAAATTTGCGTTTAAATTTTCAAACAAATGTATTCAAACTTTGGCCGTGGCTGTAAATATATCATAGTCGTTGTAAATATTATTTAAAAATTTAAAATATATGGGCTTACTACAATATGTTGGCCAGAGGTAGCATACATAACAGTTCCAGTGCTCCATAATCCTCCCCATAAGCCATAAGTACCATATGATCTATTCATTATAGTGTTCAAAAGTTTAGTGCTCAAATAGAGTTTAACAGTTTAGCGTTCAAAAGTTTAGTACTCAAATAGCGTTCAAATTTTTAGTGCTCAAATAGTGTTCAAATATTGTTTAAAAGTTTAGGGCTCAAACAGCGTTATAGTGTTTAGTGTTCAAATAGTATTCAAAAGTTTAGTGCTCAAAAAGTGTTCAAAAGTTTAGTGCTGAAATAGTGTTCAAAAGTATAGTGCTCAAATAGTGTTCAAAAGTATAGTGCTCAAATAGTGTTCAAAAGTTGGGGCTCAAATAGTGTTTAAATTGTATTCAAAACATTAGTGCTTTAATAGTGTTTAAATGTTTATGGCTCAAATAGTGTTAAAAAGTGTAGGGCTCAATTACTAGTGTTCAAAATTGGATTGCTCTTAAATAGTTGTAATATTTAAAGGCGTGGTTGCCTCCGATAAACCCTCCGTTTCCTTCTCTGAGTCAGAGCAATCTAAAAGAGTCGGAGACTAATCAGTACACACCAGGATCCCAGATAGAAAACACGTTAGAGCTTAGCTCCGCTGTTTCTAATCAGGGCCTGGAGACTTGTACTTCATTGACTGCTAACAGACAGTCAGTTGACAGCTAACCGGTAGTTTATCAACTGCCTCAACAGAGATTGGACAGCCTCATTCTCAACATCTACTTTAGATGCTCTGAACTAGAGTATCAGAGACTCTTCCGAGCTACAGATAGTTCAACTACTTTAGATACTTGCAACCAGAGTATCAGAGACTCAATAGTGTTCAATAGTTTATTGCTCAAATAGTGTTCAATAGTTTATTGCTAAAATAGTATTAAAAAGTTTAGAGCTCAAATAATTTCAATATTTTATTGCTCAAATAGTGTTCATAGTTTATTGTACAAATAGTGTTCAAAAGTTTATTGTTTAAATAGTTTTCAATAGTTTATTGATCAAATAGTTTTTAATAGTTTATTGCTAAAATAGTGTTCAATAGTTTATTGCTCAAAAAGTGTTCAATAGTTTATTGCTCAAAAAGTGTTCAAAAGACTGGTGCTTATCTCATTATTGTTTAAAACTGTAAGAAAAACCAGCGAACTTTTAAATTTTGAAAATGGTGAACTTGTCCGTTTACTAGTTTTATTCACATAAATCGGTTTAAATAAAAATATCTAAACTTTGTCAGGATTACATAATAAAACATTGATCGGATCAATAAAACATTGATCGGATCAATAAAACATTGATCGGATCAATAAAACATTGATCGGATCAATAAAACATTGATCGGATCAATAAAAATTTGATTCCATGAAATAGAGTCTTATAAAATATTGAAAGGATCTCATAAAACATTAATAGAATCTCATGAAATACCTGATCATATGATCACATTGTATTAACATAAATAAATCTCTCGGGGGCATCTTTTGATCTAAATATAAAAATGTAATGTGTATAAACATTGAGCATAGCATTTCATTTTTTACCCTAAATAGGGTGGAATGATAAAAATAATGATAAACTAGTTTGCTTATGATAATATTGCTTTAAATTTGTAATTCATAAAAAAAAATTTAAATAAACATTTTAATTATTACAACCCACCTTGGAAGTCCAATACATCGAAGATTTGAATTCTCTCCTGAAAATCCAATTCCTGGAAGATTTGAAATCTCTATTGGAAATCAAATACTTGGAAGATTTGATTTCTCCTTTAAATCCAATACCTGGAATATATTTGATATTTCTCCTTTCAATCCAATACCTGGAATATTTGATATTTCTCCTGGAAATCCAATACCTGGAAGATTAGATATTTCTCCTGGAAATCCAATACCTAGAAGATTTTATATTTCTCCTGGAAATCCAATACCTGGAATATTTGATATTTCTCCTGGAAATCCAATACCTGGAAGATTAGATATTTCTCCTGGAAATCCAATACCTGGAAGATTTGATATTTCTCCTGGAAATCCAATACCTGGAAGATTTGATATTTCTCCTGGAAATCCAATACCTGGAAGATTTGATATTTCTCCTGGAAATCCAATATCAGGTTCTTGACCAAAGTTATCTTTGAGCCACTTAGTGTCCTCACTTGCCATATAGAATACAGTTTTTGTAGTTTCATTATCAATACGATTCCTAGAGAACATTTCTAAATCTGTAAGCAACATAAGACTTAATTCTAAGTGACTGTTCATGAATTCATAGCATGTACGATTCCAAAGGTACCTTTTAATAGTTTGGAGAATTTGATAAACTCATTGTTTTACCTGGAACTTTTTTTAATTATTGTTCTTCATTAAAAATTATTTTGTGGATATATATGGGAAATAGTCAAAACTTAAGATAGAAAAACAACAATATTTCCTTCATTTTAAAGAGACAGACTGGCTATGTAAGGTAGTTAAACTGAGTATGCAGTAAGTACGATTTTGAAAGTCGACTTTGTGCTCAAGCTCAGGATTTACAGATATTTAAAAAGTTTTATATGTCTAAAATGAATTCTAAAGAATGTGCCCACAACACTGCATACTTAGTTCAACTACCTTACATAGCCGGTCTGTCCCTTTAAGGAGGATTTAAGGCAACCGTTTTGGCTTTTCATTTGGTAGGTTACTTGAAATTACGTCTACACTCTACAGGACCTTAATTACGCATTATGCAATGCAAAAACAATTTAGGCACAGAAATGGAATAAATGAACAATCATTCTTGTGATATTACAATTTTATATTACTACTAGCTCAAGTGCCCGGCGCTGCTCGTGGAATAAAAATAAACGAAATTTGAAGAAAAAGATGCGATTTTTGAAAAAAACTGGATTTAAAAAAAAAGAAATTTCGATTTTTTTAGCCAATGTTAATCTTTGGGCACTCTTGGGTTAATTAAAAAAAATCAGCCAATTTGGTCCAGCCGTTTGGCCAGCTATAGCTGACATACATATTTTGTTCAATCAATTCAAGCAATATATAATATACAGGGTCACCCACAAAGAATAAGACTGTAAAGACGACAAGAAACTATTTAAATATGACGATTTCAAGTTTAAATTAAGTATTCTCTCTGAAATGTGACCTTTAAATGATTTGGCTGCAAAGAAAGGAAAAAGTTTAAAGTTGCAGACAATCATGAATATAAGGAAACTGACAAATTTCGTACAGTCGTCTCTGAAGTCTCATCCTTTCTTGGGTAACCCTGTAAATACCTGAATAAATTAATACAGTACAAAAAGTATTTTCTCCACATCTCGTCATCACGCATAACAATCCCGAGTTTCTCATTCTCAATAGAAAAAGGAATTTAGTCTTGAAGTAAAATTTATTTCTGGCATTTAAGCACTTGTAACGACAATATTGGATATAAACCAAGTAAATGCACTTGTAACAATATTGGATATAAACCAAGTAAATGCACTTGTAACGACAATATTGGATATAAACCAAGTAAATGCACTTGTAACGACAATATTGGATATAAGCCAAATAAATGCATAAAAATTCAACCAAAAATTGTATGAAAAGAAAGGACACAATAAAAATTAAAAGGAAAAAAGCTAATAATAAAAAAATACAGACGTTAACCTAAGTAAAAAAGGTCTTTTTACTGAAAATTTATTTTTATTCTTGAAAAGGGTTTTGAGTTTTTCAGTTTACAATTAGAAACGAGCATTTTCTAAAATAAAAAGTCACACTGTTAGAAGAAATAATGATTACAATTCATTTGGTTCACAAAATCAAACTATATTTCCTTAGTTAAAAAATATTTATAAACTGAAGTAACCTGAGCTGAAAACTGTAGTATGGTGGATATCGGGATTAATGCTTAATCCACTCTTTTTCTTAATCTCGAGATTAAATATTGTTAGTTCTCCTCTCATTTTTAATCTCCAGATTAATTATCGGATCAGGATTAAGGATATCCCATTCAAAAGTTTTCAGCTCTGAGCTGGGAACTTTAGAATGGTGGATATTGAGATTAATGCTTAATCCTTTCTTTTTCTTAATCTTAATACTAACTCAATCTTGTACTTGTATCCTGGAAAGTATATAAAATTCAACCAATTAGAGTCGCGTATTAGAAGCCGGTAAATTTGAAATTTTGCGCGCCATTTCAGATTGATATACAGAATCGGGAAGTACTCTTAATTTTAAAAAACCGGTTTTTGATTTTTCTGTACTATATCCAAAAAAGAGTGAATTAAGCAAGAAATCAAAAGTGTCCACATTGGATATTCGGATTAAGCAGTCGGGATTAATGGTATCCCATTCTAAAGTTCCCAGCTCTGGTTTTTTATTTTTTTTTAAGAGAGCAAGGTTGTTTATTAAAGTTGCTTACTCTCGCAGCGCTCCAGTGGATTTTAACTTTCCATTGCATAATGCGTTAGAGACGACATTTCCCGTACATTGAAGCGCATCAGGATTTAACATTTCTTTATGATACAACCCTGGGGGGAAGAGTGGGGGTACATAAAATGCTTTACAATTTAAAATGTTTAGAATGTTGCTTTGATATAACCTGGGTAATCAAATAATCTCCTCTTCTGGCGTGAACAGCTATTTTGACTATTTTCTTGCCATTATACTTCTCCCTTAAATGTAAACAACATCAATATAGTTCAGGGGGAAAAAGTTCCAACCCATGATTTGGTCCGAAACTGACATCATGAGTTCAGTCTATACTATAGTATCACTGAAAATCTGTCAAATCTAAAATCACTATCGACACACCCTCATTTTTAAAAAATCAGGCAAATGTAACATAATAAATATTTAAACATGAAATCCTGCAGAATCCTGTTTCATGCTTCTTTCAAATTTCAAATTTATTCGTGTTTTTAGGTGCAATTCAACAATTTTCAAACTAACAGAGTTTTTTTTCTTCCACTTTTTCATTTAAAACACATCTGGTGACATATGGAATTAGAGAACAAACATTAAATTATTGTTTAATTTGACCAATTGTGACAGCTTGATGGAACAAGGATCAAACTTTTAAATCAATAATGCGTTGAAGATAGCGTCATTTTTCCAGCTTGAAAATTGCTTAATTCTGACAACAACTCTTTTAATTCTCAAGCAAGACATTGGCATTACCCAATTCACTTATGCAGAAAACACACAATTAAAAAAACAGTTTTCAAAAACAACCCTTATACCTAATCTTCACAGTAGACTGTTCCATAGCTTCAAAAGCAGCATTCTGTATTTCATTGTGAAACTACTACCACAATTAATTAGATAGGGGTATATATTTTTCAAAACTATTACCACAAATAATTAGATAACCTATACAAGGGGTATATATTTTTCAAAACTATTACCACAAATAATTAGATAACTTATACAAGGGGTGTATATATTTTCTTCAAAAATCTTTTTCCCTCCCTTATCAGAATCCTTTTGGAGAATTTTCAAACTAAGGTATAAATTTTGGCATGCTACTTGCTAAAGTTACTCAGTTAAATGTTTGAATAATGCCACTGAGACTCACACTTCAAATTATGTTAACTGTCTGGCGCTCTGAAGTTAACTGCATCCAGGGAAAGTTAGAAATTGGCAAAAATCCAAACCAGTCATTTAATCATATATATAGTTATTTTAGTTTTTACCTGAAAGTGATTTTTCAACTCGTCTCGAATTGTATAGAAAAGATAAAAAGGTGAAGGGTATATACCTGCAATAGTAGATTAGATCATTGTTAATTCCTTTTTTAAAGGAACTGTCGTAACTTCAACATTTCATTTCAACATGGCAATTGGGTACCCTTTGTTGTTCTAACTTAAAATTGTTTAATTCTGACAATTTCCTGCATATTTGTTTCTAAAGCATGATGCCAAAGTCCCTTTTATGAGATACCACAATTGAAAAAATCCCCTTGCGATGAGAATTGATATCACAGGCATTCTTGATCAGAAAAACCTTTTAAGGATGGCCTTAACTATGTTTAAGTATGTTTAACTAGTTTAATTTTTTCCTTGTAAAGCATTTACTTGTTTCTACTCTTCATATGCTTAGGTCTTACAGGAGGTTCTTTGTGAAATTTCTTTAAAATTTTTGTGCACAAGCAAAAATTGAATTTGCAGTGATCACACTGTTGTATTACCTACATCAAGTATCTTATTAAACTGATATTTATTAATATTTTCAAGAAATGAATCATAAAAGTATTCTCCATACTCGTTCATTGATGCTATTCCTTCCACAGGTCCCTTTGCATCAACAATACCTAGGATTGTTATACCAGCTCACTAACTAAAATTAATAAATTGGCAAGAGGTCACTAAACTACAATTGTAGGGTTGTTAATCGTTTTAAAAACGATCGTTAAACGCTAGTTTTTTGTTTTGTTTTTCAATCGTTTTCAAAAACAATCGTTTCGTTTTCGGAAAGAACGATCGTTTTTAAAAACGTCCCACTCGTTTAGAACTTTTAGAAAACAAATAAAGATCATTTTTGAAAACGCATGAGCAACTATCGTTTTTGAAAAAAAATGTTATTGACAATTATGTTTGAAAATGACATGACTAGGGGTATTTTCCTCTAGGTTTTTAACTTCCAAAATTTGGTTTCAAGAAAATGCCAAAAATTATTTCAAAAACCAAAGATGACCTTCAAGTCATCTTGCTAGAGTCATGTTTAATGGGACACCCTGTACCTACAGGCACCGCCAGTTTAACAACTTTTCAAGTGACAAAATCTTGAATCACAATTCATAGTTCAAGATTTTGAACAACCCTAAATTGAAGTCAACTGATGCAGACATATTCGCCGACAAAAATCGTATTCATCAATCTGTTTGGCTTTTTATAGTCAATAGGGTAGTTCAAAACTTTAAAACTTCTAGTTGAATCTGCCATAAAACCGATTTTAAACCATCTCTAAGTAGTTCAACGACTTCTTGCAATTTATTGAATCTGGTCCACGTTAAAATACCATTGTTAATTTTATGGACAATTTTATGGACAATTTGATGACTTAGTCATCTGTAATCTGTAGAATTATATTTTACCAGGTGTTAGGTATTTTTCCAAGGGCATTTTCCTAAGGTTGACTTCCCAAATAACAATATTCCAAAATGGTAACTTCCCAAATGTGCAATTTCCCAAGCGGCAACTTCCCAAAGCTTATGTTAGTACTTCTCAGGTGCTGCAGGCTGCAATAGGGGGCCAAGCACTGTGGCTAGAACAAGGATGGGAGCTAGGATAGACTTGGGAAGTTGATGCCTGGGAAATTGCACATTTGCCGCTAAGTTCTCATTTTTTCTAGTAATAATTTTATCTTGTAAATTTTGCCTTCCCTCCAAGTATTTTTACAAGAGGACATGTGATGTTTTCACTGGATTCATTTCTGCATTTATTAGATATAAATAAACATTTAAACAGACAGACAATATAAAATAGAGGTTAAGTTTACCTTCTTTAAAAATATATGCATCAGATTGAAAAGCATTTTCCATCATTTCTGCTTGATACTTCGTTAATATTGCTGTTAAACCGTACTATCAGTCAATCAATCAATTTCTTGATCTTAAAAAGGAGGGCCAATTTTGTCTAAGTAACAATAGTGGAGATATAATTGCATTTTCTATCCCAGAAAGATATAAATTCTGTCAATTTTTTTCTTTATATCTGCAGCTGCTTAAATCCAAAAAAAAAATATTAAGTGAAACTGAAATTGGAAATTATCAATTTTCACATAGGATATCTTCACATGAATACCAGGATTTAAATGGTAGTGTTTGAAGCCCTTTTCAACAATTTTAATCATCATGAGCAATATCTGCTGGCCTCCACTTTACTACGTTCTTGAAAACTCGTTAGTAAATCTGAAGTCAAGTTACCCCACAATCAATTAGTCTCCGACAAATCAATGTAAAAGATATAAAGTCCAGAATTATTTACCCGCAACATCTTTGCCATCAGAACATATAGTTGGTTAAAATGTTTCCTGGGTAAGAAAAAGTTCAATTTAAACAAGTGATTAACTTCCTTGGATGCTTTGGAGAGATACTGAAAAAAACAAATATAAAGTAAATTCTCCTGAAATTACAATTTATACATAGCACCTACAAAAATATACAAATGAGCAATTATCCAAATTATTACTAATTAATAAATCTTGTGTATTTGTAAGCGTGGGCAAAATATTAATCACAGATTAAGTTATTTAAATCGTTTCAGAATATTCTGCCCTATTTACCAAGTAACGCATTTTAAACCTAAATATCAGGTAACGTTTGGTTGAACTGCGTAAGATTTTACGAAATTTGTAAATGGGGTACAACAGCATGATTAAGTATTACTTCAGAAATGGATCAAAAATCAATAAAAACATAAACTTTTTTACATTTTTATTCAGTATACTAGAACATTTACAAAAAGAAAAACGCTAAACGTTAATTATACCAAACATTTGAAGTGGCCACCATAAGCTTTGACACATAATTAAGTTCTTTTCCTGGTATGGCTGAGCTTATTATTGCTGATGAGCTTGTATGGATGGAGTTGACATTGTGAAATAATGATTTTTTATCTATATAAATCAAAATTTTTTATAGTAATGGATAACTGAATGTGTGGATGTGTAAATAAATTTTAGTAGATTTCTGAAATCACAGTTTGTTCCTTTAATACATAATCATAATGTAAGTACTTACCAGAAGAGTAGCATACGCCATCATTACATTTCCTAATCTCCCATTGCATTCAGTCTATAGAACAATAACAGTCTAGTTTTCCAACAAATTCATTAAAGGCTTAGTCGATGTTATTTTAAGATAACCAGGCCCGTAGCGAGGGGGGGGATGGCACAGGGGGGGCACACTTTCTGAGACAAAAAAAAAGAAGAAAATGAAGAAATGAAAAGAAGAAAACGGAAAATGAAAGAAAAAAGGAAAAAAGGGAAAAAATTGGAAGAATTTGAAAAAATTTAATTTTGTCTTTATATGCTGTGTAAAGGATTATTTTTTTTCAAATTAAAGAAAAATTGATTACTTTCTGAAATTAATATTTCGGGAAATTTTATTTCAATCCTGTCTTGTGAAATAATAGAGTTTAAATACATTTTTTTGTATTTTGAGAAGATTATCCTTTTCCCATCTTTTATTAGACTAATGATTCTAATAAACCATCGTACTGCAAAAAGTACAAATTTAAATTATATAAAAAATATGGCCAGGTTTAGTAGAAGCTGCTTGTACTTAGCGATGGACAATAGCTAGATTCGTTTTACAGAAACTTTAAAGAATATATTTAAAGACTTTTAAGAGGTTTTACGACAATCTAAGAGGGTTCCAACGATTTTAAATTGTATTCTGAAGAAGTTTGCCTTTATGAAACATGCAAATTTGTTATCATACGGTGGAAGGCGATTATATTAAGATAATGAAGACGAATTTTATTGTTAAAAAGCTTTTTTCAAATTATAACCTTTTGTAATTTATGAGAAGCTTTTTTTATTGACAGCTTCTCTGTGTTTCCATGCTTTTGTGTATCCATGCTGTTTAAAAGCTTGATTTCAATCAAATTTTAAATAGAAAGTCGTCTTCGTTATATTGAAATAATCGCCTACCACCGTATGTCAAAATATAAGGCAAAAACTATCGTTTTAAAAACAATCATTTTTGCCTTATATTTTCTTCTAGATTAACAAATTTGCATGTTTGATAAAAGCAAACTTCTACAGAATAAAGTTTTAAAATGTTGAAACCTTCTCATATTAGTATGAAACATTGTGAAAGTCTAAAACATTAAAAGTTTGTGTAAAACGAATTTGGCTATTACACATTCTTATTTGTATCATCCTCAAACTTGCAGGGGAGTTTTTTTCGAATTTTAGTTTCAAGAAAACTGAACTGAGCTTTTCTTGATCTTTACAGGCATTTATATCCTTTACTTTCCTGTTATCAAAAATAAGTATTGATTACTCGTGATTCAAAAATAGTCCATTTATCTATAGGTCAGCTTAAATCTCTACATCTTATACAGGGTGTCCCACGAAACATGACACTTGGTAAATAGTTTAGAATGTCTTCTTCCATAATTTGTGAAGTTGTTATAATACCAAAGACAATAATAAAAATATTATATAGAAGTCATTCAATAGTAAAATTCTTTTCAAAGTAAAATATATTTGAGCAAAAGATTTTCTGAAAGAAATAAACTGTACAAACTGCATAACGCCTTTGATAAAAAATATAGTATATGGAATACGACATTAAAAACTATTTACCAACTGTCATGTTTCATGGGACACCCTGTACCTCCAGTTTTTTTTGTTTTGATGCAAATAGCTTCTCAATAGCAATTAACGGGAAAGAAAACATGCAAAATATCTACCTTAATAAGTTATAATATGTGATAAGTTAAAAATCTAGCTTTTTATTCTTCCTTCATTAAATTATATCCTTTTTAAGTTTTTCAGGTAAAAAAAATGTTTCACGAGTGGCGCGTCCCTCACTTACCTATCTATGCTATTTTGAACTTTGTGCTCCCTTTAAATTCCTAGCTACGGGCCTGGAGATAACCTCTATTAAAAATAATTCACCAAAGCACCCTCTAAATCTGTATCTGTATCTGTATCATGTATCTAAATCTGTATCTGAGTAACATTGAGTAATATTTCTTTGGTATTCTACCTTGAAAATAGACAAATTCTGTCAATTTTCTTAATTATCTTGAAAATTATCAATTTTAATATAGAAAAGATAGAATTAATTTTCACAATTTTAGCTGGTACAAAGATATAGGTAGTTGAATAGTCCAAATCAAAGACTTAAATAAATTTTAAAATACAAATTAATATCATTAAATTTAGTTAATTTTTAGCGCAACACATTCACAATTGTCTTAAATAACTAAGGTTTTAATGTCAATCGTTAGACTCTCAAAAAACCAAAATAACCAATGACGTCAAATACAGCAATACAGGAAATTTATCCGACTATTGTGTAAAGGCGTACACAATAGTCGGATAAATTTCCAACGCCTCGTCTTTATGATTAGCAAAAGTCTTTGGTCCAAATTATGTTGAAAATCCTTTAAGATGCAAGATAAGAACATTTTAGCTTTAAAGGCTCCCGGACAAATTAGTTAGAAGAATGAGAGGTACAGAGACAACCAGAAAACTCTGAAATAGGAAGACGACTTTTAGACTCAAGTTATGACTTTAAATAGAGCATGAGACACAGCAGTTGTGTAGTGTACAGACCCAGTGCACTTGTTTAGTGATTTAAAAATGTTGTCTTCCTATTCCATTACTTTTTAGTTCTCACTGGGTGTTAATGTTTAAAGGCTTACCTTCAGCACAGAACTGATCAAAATAACTCCATGAAAAAGTAAGTATATACACTAAATTAAAAACTTAAAAGTAATTTCTTAAAAAGATAATATTTTTGACCAGAACTCATAAATGATAAATACAAAATATTTCATTAATGAAGGGTTTTCAAAATATGCTAATCTAGTCAGTTGAGCTTTCACAATAATTTTCATTATTTTTTGCCGCTTTTAACGTCCCATGGGAAAATTAAGTAATCTTGTCATCCCAAAAGATGATAAAATTGTTTACAATTACTAAAACTACTTTCTCGGGAAATTGACAATTTTACTTAACCACGGGTTCCCTAATTTCTCCGTAAAGTAGTTTTTAAATAATTTAATCAGAACCAGAACTTTTGTGTTGAATACCCTGATCCTGATATCAACATTGATATTTGAGAATCAATGCTTAATCTATTAATTTCAGTTATCTATTAAATCAATCTGTAGATTAACAAAAGATGAGGAACAAACATTGATCTTCATTACAAGAGTTCCCAGCTCAGGACAGATTGGCAATTTGACTTTGATTTAAACAAAAAAAATTTATAATCCTTCACTTTTAAAAACAAAATTATCAGTACATTTATTTATAAGAGTATGAATGAAACAGTTTAAATTAAATTAAATGGTCCATCAATTTCCAGAAATTAGAAATTTTAGCAACTTTGTTCCAAAAATCAGATTTTTTCTCGGAAAAACGGAAAATAATTAGTTTCCATTTTAATTCTGTATTTGAACCATTGTGTAGGGCTGGGCACATTCAAACTTTTTTCCAACAGTTCATTTCCGGTTAGCTAAACCCGTTCATTTCCGGTTAGCTAAATCGTTCATTTCCTGTTAGCTAAACCCGTTCATTTCCGGTTAGCTAAACCCGATCATTTCCGGTTAGCTAAACCCGTTCATTTCCAGTTAGCTAAACCCGTTCATTTCCGGTTAGCTAAATCCGTTCATTTCCAGTTAGCTAAACACGTTCATTTCCGGTTAGCTAAACCTGTTCATTTCCGGTTAGCTAAACCCGTTCATGTCCGGTTAGCTAAACCCGTTCATTTTCGGTTAGCTAAACCCATTCATTTCCAGTTAGCTAAACCTGTTCATTTCCGGTTAGCTAAACCTGTTCATTTCCGGTTAGCTAAACCCGTTCATTTCCGGTTAACTAAACCGTTCATTTCCGGTTAGCTAAACCGTTCATTTCCGGTTAGCTAAACCCGTTCATGTCCGGTTAGCTAAACCCGTTCATTTCCGGTTAGCTAAACCTGTTCATTTCCAGTTAGCTAAATCCGTTCATTTCCGGTTAGCTAAACCCGTTCATGTCCAGTTAACTAAACCCGTTCATTTCCGGTTAGCTAAACCCGTTCATTTCCAGTTAGCTAAAACCGTTCAAACAGTTCATTTCCGGTTAGCTAAACCCGTTCATTTCCGGTTAGCTAAACCTGTTCATTTCCGGTTAGCTAAACCCGTTCATTTCCGGTTAACTAAACACGTTCATTTCCGGTTAGCTAAACCCGTTCATTTCCGGTTAGCTAAACCCGTTCATGTCCAGTTAGCTAAACCTGTTCATTTCCGGTTAGCTAAACCCGTTCATTTCCGGTTAGCTAAATTCGTTCATTTCCGGTTAGCTAAACCCGTTCATGTCCGGTTAACTAAACCCGTTCATTTCCGGTTAGCTAAACCCTTTCATTTTCGGTTAGCTAGACCCGTTCATTTCCGGTTAGCTAAACCCGTTAATTTCCGGTTAGCTAAACCCGTTCATGTCCAGTTAGCTAAACCTGTTCATTTCCGGTTAGCTAAACCCGTTCATTTCCGGTTAGCTAAATCCGTTCATTTCCGGTTAGCTAAACCCGTTCATGTCCGGTTAACTAAACCCGTTCATTTCCGGTTAGCTAAACCCGTTCATTTTCGGTTAGCTAGACCCATTCATTACCGGTTAGCTAGACCCGTTCATTTCCGGTTAGCTAAAACCGTTCAAACAGTTCATTTCCGGTTAGCTAAACCCGTTTAAAACCCTCAATTTTCAGATATCTGTTCAGTGTTCATTTTTAGCAAGGAACTGACTATTCTGTCCAGAAAAATTAACAAAAACGCCTTTTGTCAACAATTAAACAATTCATGTTAACAGAATCTTTCGCTAAAATTAAAATTTAAAAAAAACATGGAATTTTTCCTAGTTCTTGGTCCACAGATAAGTTGTCCAGACGGTCCCGTACAATACAAGGTTTTAGTTCCCAGCAAACAACCTCCAACTTGATTTACCTGAGATAAAATCTTTGTTAATCTATTCATGTCGAACAATTTAAAATGTTTTATGTTTGTTTATTTTATGGTACATTTAAAAAAAAAATATCGTTTTTTTCATTTCCCTGTACGCAAAAATATCAGAATATCAAATGCCAAATGATCAAAAATCTTTAAATGATCAAAAAAAATGTACGCTAAACAGTTAGGACAACTATTTTTTTTTCAAAAGTATCAAACAATTTTACAATAAAGTTAATTTTAAAGTTTAAGGTATTCCTAAACATATTTTTATGATAAAACGTCTTTAACATGCTGGCTCTCTCGACACGCAATCCATTTTTTCTTCTTTCTCTTCTCTTCTATTTTCTTCTCTTCTATTTTCTTCTCTTTATTCTTATCTTTTCTTTTCTTTTCTTCTCTTCTTTTTTCTTCTCTTCTCTATTCTTCTCTTCCCTTATCTCTTATCGTCTCCTTGTTTTCGTTTTCCCTTTGTTGTTGACATTTAACCGGTTTTAAGATGAACAATGCAGTACGATCCGTGGTTATGATTTTTCTCTGATTTGTTTACATTTCTAGCGTGTAGAACTTATTGAAGCGTACTGCGTTTGTACTGTATAATTAGGCATTTGATCATTTAGCATTTGATATTTTGATATTTTTGCTCCCTGTACATTCATCGTTCGTGGTTTTCTGAACAACAAAATGTTCAAGAAAAATTTAGTTTGTTCACAAAAACAATGCACATCTCTAGTCTTGCTGAGTCCGTTCACCAACTGGTGGAATAATTTAAACCATTATGTCTTTAAGTTATAGTAATAGGAACTTACTAGGCATTCAAAATTATTGTGTTCCAACATTTTTGGGCTTTTTGTGGACACTGTCACCTACACATAAATATATATATTTAGAAATAGTAGCCATAAAGCAATAAATTTAATTACAAATCTTAACCCACCTCCATTTCGTATTTCAAATTCAAAAATGTTAAAAAAGCAAAAAACAAAAGAGTAAGGTATTTCTTCTCGATCATACTTCTCTGAAAATAGATTCTACATTGATAATACAAAAGATATGTGTTAAGCCTATTCCACTGAGGGGGGGGGGGCAATAAGACCTGCAATTTTTGATTGTGCACATTTTTGGCTAAATAACTAGATTTTGCAAGTGTTATGAGTTTCACTGTATGTGTTAGACTAATTGTTTTGGACGTTTTTAACGTTTTTACTCGCAAACTTTTGATAGAAATTTTTGGATGTTTTGGTAGATTGGTGTCTTGTCACAATATAAAATAAACTGTGAAGCTGGAGAAAAAACAATTTGAAAGATAAAGACTATTTTTACCTATTAAAGAAGAAAATTGTCAAGTTAAAATATTTTACATCAAAAATATCAAATAAATCTTGTTTTTATTCAGCTTTAATGGGGTCACATTCACCACATGTACTTTTTTACTTTTTTACTGTAATACAAACAAAGACATATGTATTTATATATGTAGATATATTATATGTAGATTAAGAACAATTTCTAGCTCTTTCGGTATACAAAACTTTAACGCGGGCTTACAAATCAATATATAATCAATAAAATTGCTGTAATTCATGTTCATTGGACTATTTCAAATCCGTCTAAAAGTCGTCTTTCTATTTCATAGTTTTATGGTTATCACTGTAGGGGAAGAGGCTTGACACCTTTTTCATTATGAATTCTATTTGTTCCTCACAATTAAGATAAGATCAAACTTGTTGAGTTTTATAATTTCCGCAAAATTCATAAGCATTTACGGCAAAAAAACATAAAATGTACAGTCGAATGACCTCAAAATTTAAAAAAAATAGTAAAACGCGCAGATTTAGTTTTATATTTTGCAATGATATAAGGATAAAATTCCAGATTTTGTTTATACTACGAAAGACCTGAGAGGCTGAGCCGACGATTTAAAAAATTCAAGCAAATACCACGCAGGTCTAATCAGTCGTTGGCCTTATTTACGGCCGGAGCTTTCGGATTCAAGTTGCATCTTATTTTCACAGAATTAAGTTCAAAAAACTGGTTCAATGTTCTAATTGGCGCATTCCGGGTTTTTATGACTCAACATGGAGCCAATTATTCTCTATAACTGAAACCAACCAAGGTCGGTTTTATTTTCATTGGGCCTAACTCCTATAAAGTCGAGTCTAAGATCTCGCAGATCAGATGTCAATCATCATGTGACACAAGTTGTCGACAATGTACTCTGCTTGGGTGTTTGTTTGTTTATTTGTAACTGTACAAACGTCATAGCGGCTAAACCGATCGAGCCCAATCTTTTTGTGGGACCTCGCATGACCCCAGGGAAGGTTTTTATCTCAGAATTACAAAAAAATGTTTATTTAAACTATTTTTTGTTAATTTGAATTATTTTTTTGTTCATTTTAACTATTTTTATGTTTTTCAATTATTTCATTTGAGCTATTATGTTAATAGTTCAAATTAACATGTATTTCAAAATAACAAAAAAATAGTTTAAATGAGCATGAAATAAACACGTTTGAACAATTGGTTTTTAACTATTTTTATTTTCATTTGAACTAACTTTAAGTTCATTTGAAATATTTCTAATTGCATTTGCAGTTTAAACATATCTTCAATTGTATAACCTAATTTCATAAATTTATAACAATGTTTAAAAAACTGAATTGATAAAAAATAGTTCAAATGAGCAAGTAATATGTTGATTTGAACTACAGGATATGACGTCATGTCAGTAGTTCAAATGAACAATAGTTGAAACGAACATTAGTTCAAACGGCGGTATAGTTCAAACAGGTATCTACCTAAAAATTCAAACAGATGCAACATAACGTTTAAAAAGTTGAAACTTGGGGGCTCTGGTCAGGTTGTACAGGTTACCTTCAAAGGATGAGACTTCAGAGTTCAGACACGATTGTACGGAATTTGTTTTCTTGCATTCAGGGTTCCTTGTAGGCCTGAACTGGCATATATCTGTGCTTGATCATTTAGTAAACCATCAAAATACTCAATTGAATGCATGAAACCAAAAATCAAGCTTAAATCGTTTTGGGTCGTCTTTACAGTCTTATCCTAAGAAGGTAACCCTGTCTCTACTCCGCGTACATGGCCACCTCAGACTATAGATATAATAGTAGTTGGCATGTTTTATCAGAAACAGTTAGACAAAAAGGTGAATTTTCAATATCACCCCAAGTAGGGCTGGGCGGGTTCCTGGTGGAACGATCGTTCTTTCCCGAGAACAAACGGAACGATCAAGAACGATCCCATCGTTCCAAAAAAAAACGCTTAGAACGCGTTCTTAAAAATATTGAACGATTTATAGTAAAAGAACGGAACAGGAATTGCTTGAAAAAATGGTTAAAATCATTAACGCGTTCTTATTATCAAGAACGCGTTCTAAGTTGGGAACGCATTTTAAATAAGGAATGTGTTCTAAATCATCTAGAAATAGTTAAAGATTTTTTTATTTAATCACCTGACCCCCGGCCCTATATCTTTGCAATCCTATGTTGTAGACCTTAGATATTTCAAACTATGAATTCTGTTGGATCAAATGATCCAAGTTTAAAATATCGAAGGCTTACACCATCAGGGTGCAAAGTTATAGTGATGAGAAAATTTAAATTAGTGGCCATGACTCAATTCCTCGTATTAATCAACAAATATGTGCAGAAAATTTGCACGTTTTGCACAAGTGTTATTTTATTGCACATTGCACAGGATCTGGTGGGATCAACTTTCCAGATTCATCTCTCTCTGCACCTAAACTTCAAATACAAGGCAAATATCACGGATTAGAAATTCAGAGCGCTTTGTGCATTAAGTCAAAATAAATTTTTCCATATACAGCTGATCTTTCTTCTGAAATGGCAATGGGGATGGAAACGTTCTTTGACTAAGAACAGAACGAGAGGGATGGAACCGTTCTTTAAATAAGATCGCCAAGAACGGAACGGAACGGGAAGACCGTTCTTCTACTCAGAACGGAACGGAATGGAACAAGAACGGAACGGAACGAGAACAGAACGGAACGAGAACGGAACGATGAAAAAGAAACGAGAACGAACTAATTTAGCAGAAGACCCTCGTTCTAGAACGGAACGGAACGATTTAAGAAAAGTCGGAACATGCCCAGCCCTACCCCCAAGATTACTGAACATCTGGACAGTGGACATTCATGTAATGTACTGCCCCCTAGTCACCTAGCCATCTAGAGTATCTATATCATGTAATGTACTGCCCCCTAGTCACCTAGCCATCTAGAGTATCCATATCATGTAATGTACTGCCCCCTAGTCACCTAGCCATCTAGAGTATCTATATCATGTAATGTACTGCCCCCTAGTCACCTAGCCATCTAGAGTATCTATAATCTAAATATTTCAACCTCCTTGATGGACAACCTTTGATGCTTACGAATTGAATTGAGAAAGTCAACTGATTTAATTGAGCTATTATACAGGGTGTCCCAATAAACATGGGAATTCAGTAACAAATTCGATATTGTCTTTTCAAATAATTCTTTGATTTAGTATAGTGATACCTACTGAGAAAGCTGTAATCTGTAAGAGTTTCATCTGCTATGTTCACAATTTGTTTGTTTCTGTTTTGACTGCATACGGTTGTACTTAGTAAAAAAAGAAAATTACAGTATACAAACAGAGTAAACTTGTCCGTCTTCACTGTTCATCTTGCGTAGAACTGTTTTTTGTCACAATACTCTTCCTTAAACGCACTTGTCTTGTGTTTCATGTTGAGAATGGACAAAATAAATATATTCTGATAATATTTTCAATTACTAACATTGAACGAATATATATATCTATCTGTATCTATCTATATATCTAACTCAAAAACAATTCTTAAGCGGCCAAGTCTTATTTGACATAAATAAGAGGTTTATGGAATAAATTCATTTTGACTGATCCTTCCCTTATACCCGACTGTGGGAGGGGGGGGGTCTAACCACCAAATATTCCAATTTGGGGAACACAAGGAGGAAATCATAAATTATGATTATGTTTTAGGTTCCTTAATATTGTCGTTAGATACCCCTTTATATTTACACCATGGAGACACCAAGTTTCTCATTGGAGACCCCTAAAAACCCAAATTTTAATTGGGGACTCCAAACATTCCTCAGGGACTCCACATTTTTTTGTCGGAGACTCATTATTTGTTTTATAGAAACCCTCCATGCAATTATTATTAAGAAGTCTCCGATAAAAATCAAAATTATAAAGGAGAGATGGGTCGACAAATTTGCACCAAATTGGATTGAATTAATTTTATGGAGTATGATCATTGATATCAATATCGGAACTGAGGCTGAGCCCATATACGGAGGTCCAGGTTAGGTTTGTAAAAATCTATATCTAATGAATAAATTATTATTAAGCAGTAAAATATAATTTATTAAGAAAAAAATAGATAATGAGAAACCAACCAGTTCTAGGGGTTCTATTATTTGGGAAAAAAATTTCCATTTTCCGAAAATCTTTCCGTAAATTGGGATTCCGGAATGATTCCTTGTTTGGATGAAAAAAGAAAATTTTCAGGTTAGCGCGATGAAAACAGACATTTTTCATGAAAAAATTAAATATTAATGTTCATATGAGCATTAAGCAAAGAAAATTGTCATTAATAATAAAGGCCCAATTACCCACAGCTTTAATACATGTATATAAAGTATAAGAGTGTTCTTTATTCGGGAACTGTTTGTTTGTTTGTATGTCCGATCATAACTCATGAACCTCTTGACCGATTTGTCTCAAATTTTGATTTGGGAACTCGAAAGAACCAATGAGAGATCAGATGTTTTCCATTGAATAAACCCTAATCGATCAAATTGAAGATTTTCATTTTTGAAATAAAATGTTTTTGCGCTTAAAATCTAGTTTCAACTTTAATACGTCTTTTTGCTATGTAGATATTTTGTTAGTGTTTAAACATTAGCTTAGTTCTATTATATAAAGTTTTAATCACAATGAAAAAGAATTCAGCCAACTACTCAAATTCGTTCATCAAAGTTAGATCTACCGAGTTCCCCATAAAAATTTGAGGCAAATCGGTCCAGGGGTTTAAGATTTATTGTCGGACATACAAAAAACAGACAGACAAACCGAGATTGTGACTTATATTAAAGAAGATAAACTAGCTCGGGAACTCAGCTTTGCCTGTAAACAAAACTTTTCCGACAATTCTCAACCCACTCAATTTCAAATAAACATATTTAAACAAAACAAAAAACATATCCAGTACAGAGTAATCTCTGTATTTGTTTGTATGTCCGATCATTACTCAGGAACCCCTGGATCGATTTGCCTCAAATTTTGATTGGAGAACTTACTTGTTAGAACCATGGGATGCTTTTAGTCTGGTTCAAAAGTCCCAAAGGGGAAGTTCAGATTTACAGATGCTGGGTTCCTAAACCAGTATCAGATAAATCAGAATTTTATTCCAAATTAAATTTGATTTTTTTCTGTCATAAAAATTCGCTTGATCCTTATTCCTGGAAAAAAAACGGTGAATCTACATGATATTTATTTGATTAAAGCACCCAGAAAACAAAATATAATGAATATACGCATTTTTAACTTTTTAATAAGCAATAAGCATAACAAAAACTACTTTTTCAGAAATTTTACCAATTTCAAAACTACATTTTTTTGCGCGTTGCGCGATTAGTAAATATATCATTAAAGGGGACATTAGGACGATTCTGGCAAAAATATATATAAAACCTTTAGTCCCGTTTTTACATTGAATATCAATATAAACATAACAATAAATATTTACATTTCGCTGCAAAATAACTTTTTAATATGTAAGGCAACAATGAGAAGCAATAAATTCAAATTTTAGCGGATAAGTTGATATTTAGCTGAAATAAATATTATTATAGCTTTATGCTCAATTATTAATGAGCTGTTGAATCAGCTGTTGATTTAACTGTCGGCTGTTAAGTCAGCTGTTGAATCAGCTGTTGATTTAACTGCCGGCTGTTAAATCAGCTGTTGAGTCAGCTGTTGAGTCAGCTGTTGAATCAGCTGTTGATTTAACTGTCGGCTGTTGAATCAGCTGTTGAGTCAGCTGTTGAAGACAGATAGATAGATAGATAGATAGATAGATAAATAGGTAGATGGATAGATAGATAGATAGATAGATAGATAGACAGATAGATAGACAGATAGAAAAATAGAAAGATAGATAGACAGATAGAAAAATAGATAGATAGATATATAGATAGATAGATAGATAGATAGAGACATATAGTAGATAATCTTGCTACCTGACGGTGGATCATTCTTCTTAGAGATGAGTTCTCTTTGGAACTCCGGGAGAGTATTCAGATTCTCTCCACTCTCACTCAAGGCGGAAGATAGACTAGACTCTCCGCCAGTACCTCCGCCGTGGGTCTTAGACTTCTTCGACTAGGAGAGTTTAAATTAGTAAAAGGGGAGACGTGGCATTTAAATGTTAAAATTTTAACTAAAATAAAAAACCATTGAAAGAATGAATAAATATTAAAATAAAATGAATAAGATGAAAGAATAATTGACAAAATAAAAGGATGAAAAAATAAATGAATGAATAAATAAATAAATAGATAAAAGGAGGATGAATGACAGGATGGGTGGAGGGATGGATGAATGGGTGAAAGGATGAAAGGATGAATAAATATATGAATGAATGAATAAATTAATGAATAAAAGTTTAGATAGGATAAAAGGATAAAAGAAAGAATAAATGAATATATGAATAAATGAATAAATGAATAAATGAATAAATGAATAAATGAATAAATGAATAAATGAATAAATGAATAAATGAATAAATGAAAATAAATGAATAAATGAATAAATGAATAAATGAATAAATGAATAAATGAATAAATGAATAAATGAATATATGATTGCCTACCTTAGGTTTATTATCTATCAGTCTCCAGTTCAGAAGAGGATCATAAACAAAGGCCTCAAGGACTGCCATTAGAGAATCCTTGTTCCTCCGTAGAACCTAGAAATATACAAAAACAATAAAACAAAAAATCCGCAAAAATTTAGAAGGGAAATCGGCAGTGAATGTTATTAAATTATAACTTTAGAACTGTTATAACGTCAAAAATGCAAATAATCGGTTTACACTTTTTGTTATCTCATTCAATTTTTGATGAATTTTTATGAAATTTTGGAAAACCATGAGAAGAAACAGTTTCCAAAAAATTTTCTTTAAAAAAATGGTTTAACAGATTTTCTTTCAGCGATTTAAAAATATTTTGAAATTTTTGTTTTCACATATAATTTTTTTAATGCCTAAAATCCAAAAAAAATTAAAATTTTGAAAATGTTGTTCAAAACATCGATAATTCGGTTAAATTCGGCGCGCTTCTCGCGCCAAATTAAAAATTTGTACCCCCCCCTACAGAATCCTTATCTACGCCCCTGCTTTTCGTGTTAATTATCATTCTCCCTTTTCCCCTTCTCCATCCTCTCTTTTTCCCTTATGAAACTCCTTCATTACCTGCCTTAACTTAATTATTCAAAAAGAGAGTTCGATTTTGATCTTTCCACTTTCTACCCAGAGTAAAGCATAAATATTGAATTTCAAAACATTGATATCTAAATTTAAATTTAAATATATCTAAAAACAAAAAATATCATTATTATCATGTTTTGATAATAATTTGGTTGCTAGTGATTTTCTAAAAATATTTCTTCCCAAAATCGATTTTAGTGAATTTTGCTGAAAATTTGTTCAGTTTCCTACGCTCCATACAAATCCGGTTGAAGCAATAAGGCATGTGCGTTTTAATTAAAAATGTAAAAAAGACAACTCCATAAGTTTAAAGATGATTGAATTATGGACCAACACGTTAGTCGTGAGTTAGTTGCCCAACAAAATTAATTAAATACCTCCATAGTGGATTCACAAGTAGATCTGTAGGTTCCTTCTATGCCAGTAACCTCCATAGCATTTATTAACATCCTAAATAAAAACCGGGATAAAACAGTTTAAAAAATAATAAAAATAATGATTAATGATAATAATAATAAATAGCTGTAGTGCCGCCAATTGCCCGTGAAATGTCTAAAAACATTTAAATTGGTTTTAGCCTATGTTACCCACCCATGAGTTCCATAAAATAAAAAAATAATGATAATGAAAGTAGCTATTATGTTAGTACTGATAATAATGTTGGTATTGATATTGATACTGATAATAATAACGAAAATAATGATAATAGTGATCAGAGGCGTATTCGACGGGTGCTAACTGCTAAGCTAAGAGAAAAAAAATTTAGCCCCCCCCCCCTGGACAAATTCCTGAATACACCCCTGATAATGATGATGATAATAAAACAATAAAAAAACAAGCGATCAACCATCAAAAAAGGCATTGATTAAAACAATAATACTGATAACGATGATGATAATAACGATAGCGCACAATTAAAGATGATAATAAAAATGTTGATAAAATAATGCTGATAATATTAAATATTTTTTTAGCTCGACCTTAAACTATGAAACAAATTTAAGTAATATTCCTACCTGGTCAAACGGAATTTAAATAATATTCCTACCTGATCAAACAGAATTTAAATAATATTCCTACCTGGTCAAACAGAATTGAAATAATATTCCTACCTGGTCAAACAGAATTGAAATGATATTCCTACCTGGTCTAACGGAATTCAAATAATATTCCTACCTGGTAAAACTGAATTTAAATAATATCCCTACCTGGTCAAACAGAATTTAAATAATATTCCTACCTAGTCAAACGGAATTTAAATAATATTCCTACCTGGTGAAACAGAATTAAATAATATTCCTACCTGGTCAAGCGGAATGGAATTTTCTCTGGAAACTTTTCTCTAGTCATAGCAACCTAGTATATGGTATAAAATATTAAAAAATACACTTTCTATTATAACAGATATATCACCTACCTCGAAACAGTCGCCAAAATCGATGTGCAGAATTTTGCCGGAATTTCTATCCAATAAAAGGTTCGAGGGATGTCGATCCCCTAGACCCAGAACATAGCCCACCATAGACATAACAGCTAGAGATCTAGATAATATATATATATAGACCCAGAGCTAGAGATCTAGATAATATATATTATATATAAACCCAGAACATAGCCCACCATAGACATAACAGCTAGAGATCTAGATAATATATATATATATATAGACCCAGAACATAGCCCACCATAGACATAACAGCTAGAGATCTAGATAATATATATATATATATAGACCCAGTACATAGCCCACCATAGACATAACAGCTAGAGATCTAGATAATATGATAAAAATAGACCCAATACATAAGAATAAATAGCAATAATAATAATAACCAGTCAACCATCATTCACTACAAATCAAGGCCGATGCATACTTAGTTAGACAGAAATAAAGAATACACATGAGTCACATTTCTTTGCCACGTTAGTAATTGTAAATTGGCGGTACAGTCCAAAGTAGGACTGCAAAGGTTGGCCCAGCTCGGTTATTCAAATGTACAACGGTGGGAGTATGAGATTAAATACATACTTAGTAACATACATTTAAGAAAGATATCGATAGAAAGATAGGACTCATGCTGCCTCGTATTTAAAACACAAAAATACTCAATGTTTTACTTATCAGATATAGATAGATTCATATAGATAGTTAGATAAATATACATACAGAAAATAAATAAATAGATAGATACATAGAATACAGATGGATATATATATATACATATAGAAAATAAATAGATGGATAGATAGATAAATAGATGTACATATAGATGTATACATATAAAAAAATAGATAGATAGATGCAAGGTCATAATGCAAGGAAAGTTATTTCAGAAGTGTACACATCTTTTGTACTGCAGTGTACTGTCTCTGGGCGGTAATGTAAACACAAGACGGATGTCAAAGCCTGACATTGGATCCATCTTTCACATGAATAATCAATGAAATATTCTGGTCATAGGAAACTATTATGTATATTATCAAAATTTTCAAAATTAAATGCTTTAACCTCCTCGGATACTAGAAGAACACTGATGCATCTATTCTTGTTTACAAATTCCGCCCAGAGAGAACTGGTTTCAATATGTACGCAGAGTAAACGCAACCGTAATTAACTTTCCTTACATTATAACCTTGAATAGATGGATACCTGGTAAAATTAGTTCTCCTATCAAACCAAACCTCGCTTGAAGGAGATTTCAGGAGAAGGAGTTTAGCCAGATCATCTCCTGCAGTCTGTTGCAGGGAGTGCATAAACACCTAATCAATCAATCAATCAATCAATTATTCAATCAATCAATCAATAAATTCACCAACCAATCAATCAGTTGATCAACCAATCAATCAATCAATAAATTCACCAACCAATCAATCAGTCAATCAAAAAATTCCTTTAAAAAATCCATCAATCAATCAAAAAGTTAAACAAACAACCACTTCAGCTTCTATTCTAATAGCCAAGAATCAATTATGATTAGACCTTTAACCGAAACAAAACTAAGAAAGGTAAAAATCCAAAAACATGATTTAGTTTTATTTCTTAAATAAAAATGTTACCTCAACTTTGTTGATCAGAGGGAGATGATCATAGTCTGGAGCCATCTTCTGCATTATACGATGCTCTAGGTTCAACCAGACCTTTCTCTTCTCCCTAGATAGATAGATAGATAGATAGATAGATAGATAGAAGATAGATAGATAGATGGTTGGATAGATACTAGATGTACAGATATATTATGGATAGACAGACAGATCGATCGATGAATGACTAAATGACTAAATGACTGAATGACTGAATGACTGAGTGACTGAGTGACTGAGTGACTGAGTGACTAAATGACTAAATGACTAAATGACTAAATGACTAAATGACTGAATGACTGAATGACTGAATGACTGAATGACTGAATGACTAATTGACTAAATGACTAAATGACTAAATGACTAAATGACTAGACTAAATGACTAGACTAAATGACTAAATGACTAAATGATAAATGACTAAATGACTAAATGACTAAATGACTAGACTGACTAAATGACTAAATGACTAAATGACTAAATGACTAAATGACTAAATGACTAAATGACTAAATGACTAAATGACTAAATGACTAAGTGACTAAAATACCTATATTCTCTGATGAGAGCGTGTAATGTATCTGACATGGGAACCCAGCCAATAAGACCGCTATTAGTTGATAACGGTATAACAGCAAACCTAATTTATTATTAATAATAATAATCATTTCATCATTTATAAAATAAATTAAAAACACTCAAAAAAAAACATTTTGAATCTTCTTGTGCACTGCCTTCCCATTGCCTGAGGCCCCCCCCCCGCACAGTGTGCATTTTACCGGTAGATGACAAATAATCTAAAAATTTTTTTTTAAAAAAATCATTATTTTCTTAGTTAAAATTTATTTGTTATTCAATTTAAATTTTTTTCTGTTATTTGTATGTTTAAGTCATTAAACCTTAGATAATTTCTTGTGATATAACAAAGAATGTTATGGCTTCTAAGATAATTTCTTGTGATATAACAAAGAATGTTACGTCTTCTAAGATAATTTCTTATGATATAACAAAGAATGTTATGTCTTCTAAGATAATTTCTTGTGATAAAACAAAGAATGTCTCTAAGACAAATAACACTTGAAATGTTCTAAACTGTGTCTCAGCCTCCACAAGTCGCCGCTGTTTTAGATATTGGGATTTTATATGATATATTTAGATATTGGGATATTATATGATATATTTAGATATTGGGATTTTATATGATATATTTGAAATGTCAAACAAAGACGAACTACTTTTTATTAATGTCGTCTTACTTAATTTCTTTTTTATATGATTTTTAACTTTTTAAAAAATAATGTTCTAAAACATAACAATTAACGTTTTAAAACTCAACTATTTTTTTTGATCAGAATAAGCCAAAGTCCAAACCTCCGTTATGGATGTCACATTGTGCCCCGAGGGACCACGACCCCCTAATTTTACCTCTGTATTGTGAGATTTCTCCTAAAGGTTTCAGGGTCTGTTGTTAGAAGAGAATTCACCAGGGAGAAAAATTGCATCACTCGTTCGTCCTACATTTAGTTCAGATGATGCTATATCGTTTGCACTAATGTTCGATTGAACTAACGTACTTTTGCACTAAAGTCAACTGATTAGTAACACCCTCAAATAAAACGTTAGTCCGAATGAACGTTAGTGCGAATGTACGTTAGTCCGATCAATCATTATTGCAAACGATACGACACCGTTCAGCTAAATATCACCATAACCCCCCCCCCCCAACTTGCAAAGACTATTCTTTAATAACGGGGGGGGGGGGATTATTTAGTACCATGCAGGAAAAACAGAACTTAGGGGAGATTAAAAGTTTTATTCTTTTTAATATCGTTGTTGTCGTCGTGTATATCTATCGATCGTATATATCTTTAATCTATGCAAAAAACTTTCGAATCCAATGTTCTAGGATTTCTACCAAGCTTTCAAACAGCAAGTAAAAATGGAAACTAAGAGAATCTGTCAAATTTATTTTACAGTTTTTGTTTGCTTGTCAACTTGTAATTTTGAAAAATCCTTGCTAGAAATAAAAAAGTATGTTTGCATAAATAGATTTTTTTAATATTTTAAAAACTGAAAATTAAGTGAAAAATTGCTTTGATGGGAAAAATAGGGAAAAATAAAAAATGTAATTTAAAGGGATTTTTTAATTTACTGACAGGTCCCTTGAACTGTATGTATTGGTACCTGTCTTAGGTCCTCGTGTCCCTTGAGAAGGAACATGTACTCCTTCCCATTGTTCCCCTTCATGCAGTGCTTCCTGGGCCTCTGTTTACTCGTAATCACCTTCAATCAATAAATCAATCAATCAATCAACTATTCCAATCCAAATCCAATCCAAATCTAATCCAAATCCAAATCCAATCCAAATCCAAATCCAAATCCAAATCCAAATCCAAATCCATATCCAATCCAATCCAATCCAATCACATCCAAACTAACAACCAATCTAATCCAATCCAATCCAATCCAATCATATCCAATCCATCCCAATAGAATTCAATCCATTCGCATCCAATTAATTCCCATCCAGTTTATTCCCATCCAATCCATTCCCATCCAATCCATTCCCATCCAATCCGTTCCCATCTAATCCNAAAAAATCAAAATGTACATATCGTTGATATATATATAAAGTTTATTTTTATTTGTTCCTGTACTTTTTGATCAATAAATAGATTTGAATAACAATAATCCTATCCAATCATAAAAGGACCAAAAATTAATGAAATTAAGTCTAATCCTTTCATCAATCAACCTGACCATTTAGTTGAAGGGCAAACTACAAATCTCAACTTAAAGGGACTGTAAGCATAATTTCAAGTGACCCTCCATGCCAAGATGACAATGCCCGATTCACAAATGTACCCTTAAAAGCTTTGTCTGATCAAGTATGAATTAGATATCAATGTCTAATTGTTTATAATGTCTAAAAATTATTATTTCTTCCACATTATTGATCAGATAAAAGTTGTGAATGAATCTGGTAATGTCATCTGTATGGTCAATTGAGATTAAGCTTATAAAAAAATGTCAAAATATTAAAGTATTAAAATATGAACCTGTAGACTGGGAGATACCGAGGCTATCCTGATAATCTCCTGGCTTGGGATATAGCTGCCAGGTACAGCTAGCTCTAGGTCCCGGCACATTAATAGCTAGAATAAATAGCTTAATAATTTATAGCTAGAATACATAGCTTAATAATTAATAGCTAGAATACATAGCTTAATAATTAATAGCTAGAATACATAGCTTAATAATTGATAGCTAAAATACATAGCTTAATTTTTAATAGCTAGAATACATAGCTTAATTATAATTAGCTAGAATACATAGCTTAATTATTAGCTAGAATACATAGCTTAATTATTAACAGCTAGAATACATAGCTTAATTATTAATAGCTAGAATACATTGCTTTATAATTGATAGCTAAAATACATAGCTTAATTATTAACAGCTAGAATACATAGCTTAATTATTAATAGCTAGAATACATTGCTTTATAATTGATAGCTAAAATACATAGCTTAATAATTAATAGCTAGAATACATAGCTAAATTATTAATAGCTAGAATAAATTACTTTATTATTATTAGCTAGAATACAAAGCTTAATAATTATTAGCTAAAATACATAGCTTAATTATTAGTAGGCAGAATACATAGCTTAATTATTATTAGCTAAATACATAGCTTAATTATTAGTAGGCAGAATACATAGCTTAATTATTATTAGCTAGAATACATAGCTTAATTATTATTAGCTAAAATACATAGCTTAATTATTAGTAGGCAGAATACATAGCTTAATTATTATTAGCTAGAGTACAAAGCTGAATAATTATTAGCTAAAATACATAGCTTAATTATTAGTAGGCAGAATACATAGATTAATTATTATTAGCTAGAATACAAAGCTTAATAATTATTAGCAAAAATACATAGCTGAATTATTAGAAGGTGGAATAAATTGCTTAATAATTAATAGCTGAAATACATAGCTTAATTATTAGTAGGTAGACTACATAACTTAATTTTTAATAGCTGGGATGCATTGCTTTTTTATTAATAGCTAGAATACATTAATGATCTCTTTTATTTTAACAATTCAGATTTGGGTTTTAGGGAGCAAAATATTTTTGTTAGCAGTTATTGGATCTGCACATTTTTGCGTAAACAGATCCAGGAAGCCAAAATCCGGATCCTAAGGAGCTGTTAAAAAATACCAAAACTTACCTTGGGTGAGACGTATTGTAGCTCTAGCTGGGTCAGCTGGGGGAGCTGTCTGCAAATCCGTCGGAACACGTGGTAATACAAATCCCAGGCCTGGTTCAGGTCCTTTATGTTATTGGAAACCTAGAAAGAGAATGTACAATTGTACAGTACATCAAATAGTTATGTACAGTAAATTAAATAAGATATATACAGTTTATTACATAAGTTATGCACAGTAAATTAAATAAGTTATTTACAGTACGTTATATAAGTTATGTACAGTAAATTTATTTAGATATGTACAATGTACAAATCCCAGACTTGATTCAGATCCTTTCTACTTTTGGACAACTAAACAGTAAATGTACAATTTTACAGTACAATTAAATAAGGTATGTTAAGTATATTAAAAAAGGTATGTACAGAATATCAAATATGTTATGTACAGTATATTAGTTGAAAAATTAAATATGTAAACTTGTACAATAAATGATATATTAAGTTGTACAGTTGCACAAAACATTTAATAAACTATGTATAGTTCGTTTTTTAAGTACATGAATTTGAGAAATTACATTTCTAAGCCTTATTCTAAGTTACCCTTCATGCAAAGATGGAAATGCCTAATTTACAACAGTACCCTTGAATCCTTAATCTAATCAAATCAATACAGATGTCGTTTTCCCACTTTAAATTTTTCAATTTTTATGCATGCAAGGAATGTGCAGACGACTTTTGCAGGGAAACCGCAAACGAAAATAAACAGGTTAAAGAAACAAAACTCGGATATCAAATTCATTTTAGACAAAGCTTTTAAGAGTATCATTGTAAATCGGGCATTGCCATTTTTGCAGAGAGGGTCACTTGAAATTACGCTTACAGTCCCTTTGAGCTCTAACCTTATATCGTTTACACCATTTCTGTGCCTCATTTAGATCATTCCCGTAGGCCTGGCTGAAACTTGTTTCCTTCAAAGTTTGCGGCCCCTAAACAAACGTAAAAAATGTCTTAAAAATTAACACTTTTTACGAGAATCCATTGTCTTTGGAGTAAATTGGCGTGACATGAATAGATATATATTATATAAAGATGGATAGATAGATGGATGGATGGATGGATAGATAAATAGATAAATAAATGGTTAAGATAAATAGTTTGATAGATAGATAAAAATGAATTTATAGGTACAAAGATGGATGAATTGATGGATAAATAGAAAGTAAATGGAAAGATAGAGTTAATTCAATAGATAAAGATATGAAGAGGGTTCAGATTCAAGGATAAATGGATGGATAGATAGCTAAATATGTAGATATATATAGATAGATAGATAGAAATAGATAAATAGACAGAAAGACAGACAGCCAGACAGACATATATACAGATGGATATTTCAGTTTTTAAACTTCCAAGTTTTATTAAAAAAGAATTATACTAAACACAATGTTTTACGCCTCATAAATAAATACATAAAACAGTCACCCTTCAATCCAAGGAATCCTCTGGAGTCAAAATTCTTTGAACAACTCAGATTAGGGTTTAAGATGGATAGATAGATAGATATATAGATAGATAAGATATATAGATAGATATATATATAGATAGATCGATCGATATATAGATACCTTATCCATCATCTCATGAAGAGGGTCCAGGGTCTCAAACATCCCTGCTACATCCCTCTCACCGAAGAATAGTCTGCTAGCTTCCTCTAGTCCTTCGTGCCATAGCTCATGCCATAGGATAGCGATTCTAGAATAAAGGATATAGGATAGCGATTCCAGAATATAGGACATAGGATAGCGATTCTAGATATAGGACATAGGAAAGCGTTTCTAGAATATAGGATATAGGATAGGGATTCTGAAATATAGGATAGCGATTCTAGAATATAGAATAGCGATTCTACAATATATGATATAGGATAGCGATTCAAAAATATAGGACATTGGATAGTAATTTTATAAAATAGAATACATAAGAAAGGCTTGGAAAATGTAAACCGAATAAAGGCCAAAGGAAGCGATTACAGAATACAAGAGATTGGATCAGTGATTTTAAACAAAGGTCAAAGCGATTTTCGAAAAAAAAGACGAAGGGTAGCCTCAAAAATAGAGGACATAAAAAAGCTAACAGGGACTTATTGAAGTTATAACTTCATTCTAAAAGAAGTCTTCCTATTTCAGAGTTTTCGGGTCTCACTGTAAGACATAAGATGACTATTCTACCTGATCAGCTCATCTGAGACCATAATAGCTTGGTTGACCAATGACTCGCTGTGCTCTCGCATTTTATTTAAAATTTTGTTTGCGGCATTCTTCCTAGCTTGCGCGTTGGATTTGCTAGCAACGGTCAATGGGTAGATCAGCGCCTTAAATGGAAATAAATTAAATATTTAAACTGTGAAAGAAAGTACTTGCACAAGAAAAAAATGTAAGGAATAAATGAATAAATAAATGAATGAATGAATGAATGAATAATGAATAGGTGAATGAATGAATGAATGAATAAAGGAATGAAAGGATGAATTTATGAATGAATGAATGAATTAATAAGTGAATGAATGAATTAGAAGTGAGTTTTAAGAAAGTAAATGTGAAAGATGTCTGTCTTGTTTATGATATTTATAAAAATCATTTCACTTGTTCTTTGCTGATTAATGAGCGGAAAAATGAATAAATGGATTAAAGAATGGATGAAAGGATGTATGGATGAATCAATGAAAGTATGAATGAAAGGATGAATGAATGAATGAATGAATACATGAATACCTGTGGATGATGTTTTCCGACATCTGTAAGAAGCTGATGAATGAGCCGGCTCACAAGAGGCCTGAAGATGAAAAAATCTTATAATATAATATTAATTATGAAAATAATAATATCAATGCAATCATTAAAACAAACAATAACATTGACATTAATTTTACAATTAATTTTAAATAAATAAACCATCTCATTATTGGTCTACATTTTACACATATTATGTATCCTGTACTGTACTGTACTGTACTGTACTGTACTGTACTGTACTGTACTGTACTGTGCTACCTGTTAGTATCAATTCTTGCAATCAGCTGAGGGATAACTTGGAGCCACGTGTTTATATCTAAATCATAAAACTTCATAATAATTAAATTTATTTATTTTAAATCAAATCAAATCACACTTCAAGGAACATTCTATGAGAATTGCGATGTCTGTACTAAATCAAAACTGAAGCCTGGTTTTACAATTTGTAATATTTAAATTTGCTGAAATTTTGTTTAAATTACAACGGACATTGTGGCAGTCCACCAATTACAGATCTGTATACCGTTACTCTAAGCACTGAATAATGGCTGGTCCCTAGTACCGTATTTTTATCTCAAGCGGGAAAAGTCACATTTTTAATGAAATCAAATCAAACCCGAAGGTTGATGACGTCATTCTATCCTCTTCAAATTTTACCTAAAATTGTTACTAAATTCAGTGGTAAAAGAAGGCCAATGTTATGTCAAATAATCTACGTTTGTAATATCTTTGCAACCCAATGTTGTAGACCTTAGATATTGCAAACATGAATTTTTAGGTCAAATAGTCTAAGTCTGAAATATCGAAGGTTTAAACCATCAGGTTGCAAATTTATCAAGATTAAAAATGGGACCTTTGTAGCAAAGACTCAAATCCTTTATTTTTACTGTATTTAGTACTGTTGTGAAATTAAAGGCTGTATTATAAGTAAGTATTGAAAATTACACAAGCTTTAAATGTTTTTATGTTTGTATGTTTCTATGCATTTTCATTTTTCTCTGTAGACTGTACAGTGTACACGTAATTTCCATTGACTCCATTTATATAGATTGTCATGAATGTAGGGAAGTGCTTTATGTTAGTTCGTTATTTAGGTCGTTTATTGCTTACATTTTCTTTTAGGGTCAAAGTTTAGCAAAACATAAGGGTAGCAAATGTTTTCTCATTTTTTATTCTAAAGATTTTTATTCCTTTAAGTATGTCAAATTTTGACCCTGGCAGAAGATATATGCGAAAAACGACCCAGGAACGATCCAAAAACGACCCAAAAACGATCCAAAACAATCCAAAAACGACCCAAATATGATCCAAAAAACAACCCAAAAACGATCCAAAAACGATCCAAAAACGACCCAAATATGATCCAAAAACGACCCAAAAACGAACCAAAAACGACCCAAAAACGATCCAAAAACGACCCAAAAACGTGTGGTGACGTTAATTTTATATAGTTTCTCCAATTTTTATTTTTTTAAGGTAAGATATTGAAAAGTTTAATAAAAAAACTTCAAAATAAAACAGTTCTATATCTTGTAAGTTTTAATGATTTTTTTTCTAAAAACTATTAACAACACTACATGTATGTTAATGTCCTGTGCTCAAGTATGAATAAAAGATATCTATCTATATTCTTGTTTTTCTAAAAACTATTAACAACACTATATGTATGTCAATGTCCTGTGCTCAAGTATGAATAAAAGATATCTATATTCTTGTTTTTCTAAAAACTGTTAACAACACTACATGTATGTTAATGTCCTGTGCTCAAGTATGAATAAAAGATATCTATATTCTTGTTTTTCTTAAAACTGTTAACAACACTACATGTATGTCAATGTCCTGTGCTCAAGTATGAATAAAAGATATCTATATTNGGATACAAACAGACAAACAAACAAACAGACAGACAAGCCAAATTTATATATAGATAACCATGGTTATACTGCAGTATGTTGGGTTAAAACCATTTTTACAGATAGGCACACCGACTAGCGTGCACTGGGTATAAAAGGGTTGCCCTCAACGAAATAAATAAACTTTTTGTATAAGCTCTACGGTAACAAAATGGGTTAAAGGGACAGACCGGCTTGTAAGATAGTTAAACTTAGTATGCAGTGTTTCGGACAAATTCTTTAGGATTCATTTGAGACATATAAAACGTTTCGACAATGTATAATTACTGAGTTTGAGCAAAAAAGTCGACCTTCAAAATCATGAATTTGGGTGAGTATGTTTTCAAAATCGTTTTTATTAGATTATTGAATATATAGTAATATAGTAAAAATTCTATAGTAAACTAATTAGATGTTTAGGAACATATTTCTCAAAAGAAATTTGTCAATAAATCAAAGTTAGAATTAATTATTTCCTATTTCATCATTATATTGAATTTCTTATTTTCTATGAATTTGTTAGCAGATTTCATCAAATTCTTCAAATGTCGTCTTTTTAATAAAAATTCCAGAAAATCTACAGAAAACCTTTGTGATTAAAGAGAGATTATAGAAACTAATAATTGAATAAGATTACTTATTTTCTCAACCTGTTCCTAAACAACTAATTGGGTTTCTGTAGAATTAAGTGTACATTTTTTGTCGTTGTTATTTAATAATAAAAAAAAAATTCTGAAAACGTATCCACCCAAAAGTAGGATTTTGAACGTCGACTTAGCGCTCAAACTCAGGATTTACAGATCTTTAGAAAGTTTTTTATGTCTCAAATGAATCCTAAAGAATTTGTCCACAACACTGCAGTGCACAGTGCATACTCAGTTTAACTACCTTACATAGTCGGTGTGTCCCTTTAAGAAACAGTTGTCATAATGATTTTTATTGATAAAATACTTCTTGAAATACTAAGGGGTTTTAGTGGAAGAAAATTAGGTTTTTCAGAAGTTGTCCTTTCTATGCAGTGTTCTATCTATGGGGTGTCCTTTTCGTGTCCTATTTATGAAATGTCCTCTCTATTAGGTGTACAATCTATAAAATGGCCTAATTAAATAATGTCCCAATAAAAAGTCCCAGCGTCCTAAAAATCATTTTCTCCCCCTATAAGTCATAAATGTTTACGCGGTGCAAAGAAAAATGAAAAGTTTTTTTTGCTGAATTGAAGACATTTAATGATTTTAGGAAGAAATAAATTTTATTTTGGTAAAAAGCATCAAAAATTCTGAAATATATACAACCCTGCCCTATTGACCTGTAAGGAAGCAACTCCATAAGTAGATATAGTATGTGTGCTGAGGCCTGCTGGAGAATGTTTATAGAAGAGAACTGTCTCAAAGTTTATAACAGCCCAGCTGTGCCAGGCTTTATACCATCCGCTGTCATACTCCGTAGCAGCTGTATAGTACTGTAGAACTGTAGGGATACTACTCTCCTGTAATATGTATATTAACTATATATAGTACTGTAGCACAGTAGGGATACTACTCTCCTATAATATGTATATTAACTATATATAGAACATTAGCACTGTAGGGATACTACTCTCCTGTACTTTATATATATATATATA